AGCGATGCAGCGTTGGTTAACGCCTTCCACAGTAATTTGCTTTTTCGTTTCATATCTAAGCTTAAGAGGACCATATCTGATTATAGTGTGACCATATAATATCGATTACTTGAAACCAACTTGACTGAAACAATTAAATCCATACGGAAGGACGGACACACAGAGGGACAGACAGACAGGCAGAGGAAGAGCAGGACGTACGGACAGACAGGCAGCCAGACGCACGGAACTAGATCGACTTAGCTTGCCCCTCTGATCAAGATATACTTAAAAAGATCTGCCACGCCTTCTTCTGGCTGTTTCGCACCTTGTTCAATGGGTTCAAGGTATAAAGACATGAGATAAATTTTATGCCGAATGAACTGAATCTGAGTCGAAAAAACTTAGCGCACAATTATACAAAAAATGCCATAAAATATGTATATATATAGCAGAAGTGGCTTAAATATTGGCAAGGGATAGTTTGAGTATCCAATTACAAAATCGAAATAAATTTTTTAACACGAGATTCCAATCAAACGAATGTGCAGAAAACACATTCAACAGTCGTTGAAATGATATGAATTTAATATATATATCTATTTATATATATTTATATATATATATCTATTTATATATATTTATATATATATATCTATTTATATATAAATATATATATTTAGAAACAGAATCATGCTATATTGTATACAAATATTAATTCTTACAAACATTCAAAGCTCTGCCCAGTTGTAGAAGTTTCCTTTTTTCATTTTGCAGTTTCAAGCCATGGAGAGTTAAAGATGGGACTTCTTCTAGTATATCAAATTGTAGTCACTCAATTCTTATTACTATATGTTAGGGCTGGGACCGCAACGAGAAACTTATATGGCGTAACGAATGCCGAAAGCCCGGCGAAAGGGTCAAATGCGTGCGGGCGTAGGGCGGGGGCATAGGCCTGCGCGGATGGGACTTCTCGTCTAGCGGTTTTTGTGGGTGTGCGCTTTATGTGCGCTTAAGCCTCGTCTCGGGACACATCTGATATCAGATTTGTCGCCGTGTCACTGTCGCTATCGCCAGCGCTATCGCTACTGAGTTATCCGACTGAGCAGCCGCCCCCATGCCATGCCGTTCCATCTAACCTAACCAGAGCCTGTGCCCAGGGTCTCTTCATTCTAAACGATTGATGGCAGCAGGCAGCAGGCAACAGTTCCTGACAGAATCCACACATATACGCAGCATCATTCCCCCCGCCCCCTTCCCTGTGCCCCACCTTCCTTTATTCTTGCCACGCTTTGGTGAGGAAATGATAAATTGCGCATTTGGGAGTTTTAAAGGTCAATTTAGGGGTTAGTCTGTGCCTGTGCCTGAGCCTTTGCCTGTCCTGCTTACAAGCTGAGTGACAGGCAGGCCCAGCTAAGGCCACGGAGCAGGGGTACAAAGTGTTCCGGGGCAGGGCGCAGGGGTAGAGACAGAGGCAGAGGGTTTGATCATCTCTCTGCATATGCAGAGAAAAGGGGCACTTGCGCAGCCCATAAACAGCGACACTTCAAAGTTAACTCGCACAATAAAAAATACTTGTACGATTTCACACAGACACACACACATACGCACACACACACACATACTCACACGCACACATTTGCAGCACATTCGTAACAGTTTATAAAAAAGCAGCGAAAAGTGCGCTTAGCTTTCGGGTTTTTTGGTGCGCATAGCGGAGACTGAAAAGGGGTTGCACTTGAGCACCACTGCACCACTGCACCGCTGAGCTGGAACATTTGCTTATAGGATTTGCCAGCGCCTGTTGACTTCTAGTTGGCATTTAAATTAATGGCCTCGGCGACTGCTGCGCGACTCAAATTTCTGCAGGTTCCTCAACGATGGCTGCTAGAGCTAGAGTGGTGCGAGCTGACCCACTAGACAAATCAGCTAAGCTTAGTTAAGAGTCGCAAAACCAATCAAATTGAGCAGAGAGAAGCATCAGAGTTTCTGAGGCCACAGCAAATCAAAAACTGTGCTGAGCTCTTGTCTTTAGCTGCCGATGATAAGGATATTGCATGAGCTGAGTATCGAGTATTGAGTATAGAGTATAGAATATTATACTATATTATATGGTATTATTATATTTTATATTATATGATATTGCCATACTAGAGGCATATCAATATCAAACTCTTCTCTCTATACAGACAGGCAGGCGAACATGCCTACTTTAGGGGGTCTGCCATGCCTTCTTCCGCCTCTTCAACACATCTTGAAAAAGCTCTAAGCAGCTGAAAGATTACGAAGGTATTGTTATCAGAGAACTGCATAGTGTACTATATTTATACATAACTCCAGTCGAGTCCGCTCGACTAGCAAATACCCTGAGGCCTGCAAGTAGGCGATATTGCAATCCTTCTACGATTCTTTTCTACAGACATTGCAAACGAAACATGCACACAGCGTGGGATGATGACATTCATATCTGTATTTTTGCCAAGGCTCAAGTCTCTAGTATTTAAAAAAGGTTTATTTTCGAAAATTTTAGTGAAAGAGGAGCAGGTATTCCAACAGCAATATTCAAAAAGTCTGCGTATTCATAACAGGAACAGAGTACAGAGTAAGCCTGAAGCTCCTAACATGGACGATATTCAAGCTACGCTTAAAAAACAAAGTCAATCGATTTTTATCGGAATAAGTTATCATTTTTATCGGAATGCTCATCATGTTTTCGATAAGCTCGTACAGCGTAAGGCACGCATGAGTAAACAATTTAAATGTCAAGTCTCTAGCTTTTGTGAATAACGAGATCGCTGCGTTCACACGGACAGACGGACACTTGGACAGATGGACAAACATGGTTCAATTTAGCTTGTGCTGATCGTACATATATATGCTTTAAGGGGTCTGCCCTACCACCTTCTGCCTGTTACATACATTTTCACAAAGTCGGCCTATTCAATGGGTTCAGAGCATAGCCAAAGATAGTCTGAAGACTAAAGTAGGTAAAAGTTGAGCTGCATTCAAATTCGAAGCCATCGGGAATAAGTCAAAAGGAATTCTTCTTGAAATGCTTTTGGCATTCATTACGGTTATCATTTTTATTATTTAGTATTCGCTCAGCTTTGGTTTCTCCTGCTCTTCTATACATAGAGATATATTCGATTTAGCTCTGGGTGAGAAACTGTCCAGGACTTTCTCAGGGTTGGGAGGGGCAGGGGGAGGTGTGTCCGGGCAATGGGACTGTCGCATTTCATTTAAAAATTCTCATGTCAAAAGCACACGATTAACGCGTGTCGTGGGCGGTGAAGCGGCGAATTAAGATATTTACGTTAACAAAACCATCGATTCAGAGACTGAGGCTGAGGCTGAGGCTGAGCTGTGCAGTCGTAGGCTGCGTCTGTAGTTGACGCTGCCTTGCCCGCCTCGCTCTCGTTCTGTTGGGCTGTCCGGCTGTCCCTTTTAGCCGGCGGCATATCAAGATAACGGAACGTCAGAGTGTCGCTCGAGCAACCCAATTCCTGTTGCCGTAACCTGGTCTTTGACATCTCGCAGCAATTGTCAAAGTTGCGCTTATCGCAGCAGCCCAGCAGCCGGAAGGAGAGAGCGGGGCTCGAAGCGGGGACAGCAGCGGCTGCTGGTGGCACGTGCGGTCACGTGTCGAACTGTTTTACACGTGCAGCAACGACGCCGCTGCTGTCCGATATGCTGTGTCACGGCTGCGAGTGCGGATGCGGATGTGGGCGTGGCCGTTGCCGTTGCCGTTGCCATCGCTTGCTCATTCCACAAGCTCCTGCTGCACACCTCAGTCCCCAGCAGCGGACAAGTGGCAAAGGTGCAAAATCCATTTGCAAGCTAATTGCACGCTGACTAACAAATTTGACTGAGAGAGTCGGCTCTCTCTCCCTCCCTCTCTTTCTCCCTGTGTGGCCATAAAAACATATGACAACATTTTGATGAAACGCATTCGCCGCAGCAAATGATGCAGCAAACCGTTTGCCGTGTTGACACTCACCCGGAGAGAGTAGGGGTTGATCTGGGTCGGGATTGGGCTTGGGACTGCCTAATCGGACTTGTCATGCGGTCGTCAAAACAAGCGGCGCACTCAGCCCAGGGGTTCGCCCCACCCAATTCCAAAAATCAAAATACAAAAGGAATACAAAAACAAATTCAAACCAAAAATCCACGCATCAAAATCTTTTTTTCTCTTTTTCTTTTTTTTTTTAACTAGCTTCAATTGGGTTTGTAATTCGAAACTGGGCGCGACAGGGTGGCTGAGGTGGGTTGAGGTGGCTTGACTGGCTGCTGATGAGTTGGCCTCAGTGCCCCTCCCCCTCCCCTTCTCCATCCCCTTCCCCTTGCTTCTCTCGCTTCTGTGTCAACAACGCGCGCGTCTCCTGTTCATCGAGTGCTGTTCGCATGTCAACAACAGATAGATAATGTCAAGATCAAGGCTTTTGCACTAATAATACAGTTATAACTTTTCAACTTGAAGGATGACAGACGCCCACAGAGCGAGATTCAGGTTCAGATTGAGCAAATCAAATTTCTTAAGCCAAAGGAACACCAAATTAAAAATAATGGTATTCCAGAGAAACTATTGCATTCCTAATAATAAAAATTAATAAAGCTAAGTTTACTTTTAAAATTTAATGGAAGCATTAAATTTATATGAACTTCTATTATAATCGAAGCTAAGATTCTCTTGCAGCGCCCTCTATTGGCGTAAAGCATAAGCAACTAATTCGAATATCGTAAGGCCAATAAAGGTTTATGTCCTCGCTAATGTGAACAGTTAACAGTCCACTGACAGCTGCTAACATTTAACAGTTCATTGACAGCTGTGCTAATTCTAACAGTCCTCTGCTAGTGCTAACACTTAACAAGCCACCGATAGCTGTGCTAAACATATTAAATTTAATTTAATGCATCTGTTAGATTCTAATATATTCAACTTCACACACACATTCTGTAACATTTACATAATATTAATATTTTTCCCACAATTCCCTACACAATACACAGCTGTTTATTTTTGCCTCTAGAAAACGATATATTTATGGCCTAACTTGAGTACTCTACTTCTTGCGCTCATATTTAAACTTATAGACGGGCGCGCTGTCCTTGGTGCCGCGCTTCTCTTTTTTGGGCTTAAGTAGGCGTGGCCGTTTGAGGGCGTGCTTCATTTCCAGTTTCTCTTGGACAATGGTTAGTTCGCGTACGCGCTGCTCGCGCTTCTTTAACTCACTCAATAGCTGTTGTCTGTGGGTTCTGGTGGCCGTGTCCTATACGAATTGGAGCATTTATATATAATGAAGACGCCTATAGTGTGCCTTAGAGAAGCTACTCACTGCGCTTTCGCTTGCCTCCAGGCGCTCTCCAAGCGTGGCGGCTGTCGCTGGCTGTGGGTCACCCTGCTCATTGAAGGTATAGTGCATGTTCTGGTTAGCTTTGCCGTCCACATCAACGAGCGTGGCGCGTAGCCGCTCCAGCTTGCGGCGTTCCACGGTGACTTTCATTATGACGTACTTGAGATCCTGGGTCTGCATGAGCGCTAGTTGTTCGGACGTATGTTCGTCCTTTTCCTCTTTTTCATGGTGCACATCGTCTGTGAGCTTGGAGTTGATCATGTGATGGTAGAACTCATCCGGATTCTTGTTTAATGCCCTCTTGTGGAGCAACTTCAATGTTTTCTCCTTGCGGTGGGCATCATTTGAACGCTTCTTGTAGTCCTTTTTCTTCTCGAGCAGGCCGAGATGCTGGCGGGCCTCAGGCTGGTGGCGCTCGCGATGCACCTTTTGATTGCTCTTCGATGCCTTTTTCCACGACGACATTATGTTCTTTTGCCAGAAACGCTAGCAAACAATTGTTTATTAAAAAAACGTGTAGCCCTCAGCAGAAACTCAAAATTGCGTTAACAGAAATTGCAGCGCATAAATGCGTTTTATGGTATATACTTATCGATAAGTAAAAGGTCGTCAGCTGTTCTGCACCCATATTTTTTGTTTGTTGCTAGTTTACATCTACCAGCTGTTAGTAGCGGCAAGCGATTAGCACGAAACGCGTTTTATGTTTATTACCTATCGATAACTCATACTGACACCTGTTGTGTGTGTTATAGGTTCACTACATAAACGGATTTTGTAATTCCTTTTCTTACTCGCCTATTCTTTTGTAAATTAAATTTATTGGCAGAAGCTCAACAGTGAGCAGGAATGATGACATAAATAGACTTTTTCTAATATATTTATATCGATAATTGGAATAACAGCATATGTTATTGGTGGAGTTGTCTGCTAAGCAGAGGAGCTGAACTCTGCGCACTTAACAGTGCAGTGAATCGCACGTGCATTTAAACTGACCAAAGAGGGACCAGCGATTTGAATAATCAAGCTTTAGTTCAAGTTATTCCGGCACTTTCAATTGCAGAAAAATGGTGAAGAAGAAAATAGATAATCGCATACGTGTTATGATTGAGAATGGCGTCAAGCTAGGCCATCGCACCATGTTTATCATCATTGGAGACAAGGCCCGCGATCAAGTGCCTATTCTTTACGACATTCTCATCAAATCTACCGTGAAGGCTCGTCCGACTGTGCTATGGTGCTACAAAAACAAAGACGAGGCCATTTCCAAGTAAGTAACAGTTCAATTCTTATTTTATGTCCATTTCTTATCCCTGCCATTTAACGTTTTAGTCATGGCAAGAAACGTGCAAAGAAAATCGCTCATGGTAAAGTGGACGTGAATGAGGTGGATCTATTCGATGCTTTCCGCGTAGCAACCACAATACACGGCCGCTACTACTCCGAAACACATGCCATACTGGGACGCACATATGGCGTTTGTGTACTGCAGGATTTCGAGGCACTCACACCCAATTTGCTAGCGCGGACGGTGGAGACCGTCGAGGGCGGCGGCTTGATCATATTACTGCTGAAGACGATGCAGTCACTCAAGCAACTTTACACCATGGGCATGGATGTGCATAAACGTTTCCGCACTGAGGCCCATCAAACAGTCACCTGCCGGTTCAACGAGCGCCTGATCCTGTCCCTTGCTGACTGCAAACGTTGCCTGGTGGTCAACGATGATCTAACTGTGCTGCCGCTCAGTTCTAAGACTATTAATGTCCAACCGGTGAATGTGAGAATAGAAATTATTGAAATTCGCACAGAAAACTTTATATTAATTTTTATTCCTACATAGCCGGCAGACATTGTCAAGTCAGAGGATGATAACAACTTAAAAGAGCTGCAGCAGAGTCTTTTGAATGTTCAGCCCGCTAGCGCACTGGTGAGTCTCTGCAAGACCTACGACCAGGGTCATGCAGTTGCCCAGTTCATTGACGCGCTGGTCGATAAGCAGCTGAAGCCTCCAATGTCACTGACCGCCGCTCGTGGACGCGGCAAATCTGCTGCCATGGGTTTGGCCATAGCAGCAGCCGTTTCATTTGGGTATGTGAATGTGTATGTTACCTCGCCACATCCAGAGAACTTGATTACGCTCTTTGAGTTCGTACTCAAGGGCTTCGATGCCTTGGAGTACCAGGAACATGCGGACTATACCATCATACGCAGCACCAATGCGGACTTCAAAAAGGCCATCATACGCATCAACATCACGCGCAACAGCCGCCAGACCATACAGTATATAGCGCCTAACGATACGCATCTGTTGAATGCCGCCGATCTGCTGCTGATCGATGAGGCCGCTGCAATACCCTTGCCGCTGGTCAAGAAGATGATGGGGCCCTACTTGATATTCATGGCCAGCACAATCAATGGCTACGAAGGCACGGGACGCTCGCTTAGCTTGAAGCTAATCGCCCAAATACAGAAGGACAACAATGCACGTCCGCCGCTTACGCTAAGCGAATCGATCCGTTATAAGTGCAACGATGACATCGAACGATGGCTTATCAACCTGCTCTGTCTGGACACCAGCAATGTGGCGGTCGTTAGCTCTGGCTGTCCGCTGCCTGTGCTTTGCGAGCTTTACTACATCAATCGCGATGCTTTATTCTCGTACCACAAAGCCGCGGAGACTTTCTTGAACCGCTTGATGTCCATCTACGTGTCGTCTCACTACAAGAACACTCCCAACGATCTGCAGATGATGAGCGATGCGCCCGCCCATCACTTGTTCTGTATGTTGGCCCCAGTGCAGCGCATGGATCAACTTCCGGAGATTCTAGTGGTCATTCAGGTGGCACTCGAGGGACAAATCTCGTCACAGAGCATAAGCGAGTCCTTGGGGCGCGGTAAGAAGGCCGCTGGCGATTTGATACCCTGGAACGTGGCGGAACAGTACGGAGATCGTGATTTTCCTAAGCTTTCCGGCGTACGCATCGTCCGCGTTGCTACGCATCCCAACTACCAGCGCATGGGCTACGGACGAAGGGCAATCGCATTATTAAAAGACTACTACGAAGGCTGCTTTACGAATGTGGATGACAAGCCTGCGAGTAATGACAAAGGTGAGTCGATGTTAATTGTCTAATCTCAAGCTAAAGTTTTGCTGTGCTCTCTAGTTGGTATCGAGGAGGTCGAGGAAGAGGAGCTGAGCCTACTTAAAGAGCAGATTCGTCCACGCAAACATATTCCCACACTGCTCGAACGTCTGCACGAGCGCTTACCGGAGCGCATTGATTATATTGGCACCTCATATGGCCTGACCTCGGAGCTGCTTAAGTTCTGGAAGAACGTCGGCTTTGTGCCAGTTTACCTTAGCCAGAAAGCCAACGAGCTGACCGGTGAGCACAGCTGCATCATGCTGCACACACTGAAGCGAGCTCCTAGCAGCTGGCTGCCTCTTTATTACCACGATTTCCGCCGGCGTGTTCTCAAGCTGATGGCCAAGACGTTCCGCGAGTTTGAAACTAAATTGTGCCTAGCGCTCCTCAAGAACAAATCTGTGGATGACTCTGGCACAACGATTGCCACGCTAGACAAGCCCACGCTGGACGTCTACTTTCTGCCGCACGATCTGCAGCGCCTAGAGAGCTATGCGCGCCAACAGTCCGAGTTCCGGCTGATCATCGATCTGCTATCCGATATTGCCCAACTATATTTCCAGGGTCGCGTCGAAGGGCTCCAGCTGGACCTGGTGCAACAGAGCGTGCTGTTGGGCCTAGGCGTGCAAGGCAAGTCTGTCGACCAGATAGCCGCCGAGGTTAATATGCCGGGTAACCAGTTGCTTGCCAAGTTTTTTGACGCCATGAAGAAGTGCAATCAGTGCTTCCGCACGGTGCTCGAGGAGCACATCGAGGGCGGCATGTTGCAGGAGTCTCAGCTGCCTCGTGGCGAGGAGCTGCAACCGCTGTCGCTATCCATTGACCAAGAGTTGGAAAAGACAGCGCAAAAGCTGAACAAGCAGCAGCGCAAGGAACTAAAGCGCCTGAAGGCCGAGGCGACATTCAATGAATACCAAATCAAGGGTAGCGAGGATGACTGGTCCAAGGCGCTGGAAAGCAATGGCAAGGACGCGACTGTTGGCGCTGGCAGCGGTCTACTTTCGGTGAAGAGGTAAGGTAGCTATCACCTAGAAAGGGATAGCGAGAACATGGACTGCTCTCGCTCGCTCTATCTCTCTCTGTCTTGTGCATAAACATAATTTTTTTTATATCACCCACAGCGGCATCAAGCGCATGGATGCGATCGTAGAGCCTGATTCGAATTTGGGTCCACCGCAGACGAAAAAGAGTAAAAAGAATCCCAAGTTAAAAAAAGGCGCGGGCAAGTCGCTCATCTAGTGGGCACAATTGGGGTAGATCTATATTTATAAGCTTTCTTCAATAAAAAAATTATGGAGAGTTGACGTTAACTAAATCTTGATGGTGTCATTGTTGGCCTTGGCAGCAGCAGCTGCCGCCTTCCGACGATCGCGCAGATCCTGGAAGCTAACGCCGGCCTCTTTGTGTGTGCTGCGTGGGAAACGCTTCACCTTGGAGCGTTTGCGTGTGACAGCCACCGTTGTGGGTAGCATGTTACGCTTCTGCAGCAGTTTGAAGCGGTCTGTCAGCAGATTACTCTCGGTTTTCACGTTGCGCAGATTGCCTGCCAGATCCTCGGGCATATTCACATCCAGATCGGGCTCCTCGAACTTGTGCCGGCCCAACCGTTTTGTCTCGAACTTCTTGCGCTCTGCTGCCGCTTTGCGGCGTTTCTTTAACTCGTTCAGCTCCTCAGCCTCTTCCTTCACTTCGGCGCGTATGGATTTAATTCTACAAATAAAGTCAATTTTAGATCTGTGCATGCTATGTATTTGCTCTCCTTGTTTCTTACCTAATTAGATCTGCGGTTTGTTTCTTGAGCGCTTTCTTGGCCTCATGCAGGCGCTGTAGCTCCTTTTGCTTGAGCTCCTTGTTACGTGCCTGTTTGCTCTTCTTCTTGTTCTCGACGGGCGCATTGACTGTGGAATAATTGTTGTCTGTCGGCTTTAGATCAGCCTCCTCCTCTGACTCTGGCTCGCCCTCCTCCTTGATGCCCTCGCTCATTTCTTTCAGACGGCGCCTATCGCGCTCCTCAGGTGTCACCTTGCTAAACATGGTGGTTGTGACGCGCTTGAGGTGCTGTTCCTTCTTGATGATGGATTCCTCACGGTCCACAACTTGCTCAATTAGGCTCTGGTGCGCCTCCAGCGAGGGATTGTAGCTCATGCCAGGATGCGGCGCCTCAAACTTTCTGTAAGTGATAAATAACACGTTACTATTAAGCTGAGTTTTGTTTCGGATTTGCACTTACTTGGCCTTGGTTGTCTTGTGCCGCAGGCTGGCATGCGTTTTGACCACCTTGCGGCCGATGTTTCCAGCAACGTGCACGGCCAAATCGCGACTTATCCAGCCCTTCTCATCCTTGAGGCCAGGTATTTTGTCCCTGAAGTCTACCTCCTCCCAAATATCCTTGTCAATTGTAGGCGCCTTCTTGCCACTATGTCTCTCCGCTAGCTTCTTATCCAGTTTCTCGTAATAGAGACCGCGATCCTTGTTCGCCTGTCGATGTCTTGCCTTGGTTGGACTACACACCTCCAGCTCTATGTTGCGCCCGTTTTTCTTCTGCCTCACATGGTTTCTGCAGCAATTAATCAATTTCAGAAATTGAGCTATGTAGTGTTGGGGTAGTGCACTTACCGCTTTGCAATGGGATCCTGCACCTTGGATGTGTTCTCCAGTGCCTGATGGGTACGCATGGGCTTTAGGGCATTCAATTTGCGTTTCTGCTTAATAGTAAGCTGGCTGGGCGCAGTCTTTAGCGGCGAGGCATCCACCACGAACAGATCCTCATTCTGCTTGTCTGTGAAGGTGCTGCAATCAAGCGAGGCGGCGTTAACGTTAACTCGTGGTGCGAATTGTTTACCATTTGCTTTGGCTTACCCGATGCGCTCTTCTTGGCGTTGATCCTCTAGAAATTGTTCGACATCTTGTATATCTGTTTTGCGCCAAGCGGATTTGTTTTTCTTCGAAATGCGCTTCCTCTTGGTAACGGGGTCCTGCGCAGCCATGGCGCAAACAATTTCAAGTAATTCGTACCGCAACGAAAACAAAACTTCAATCCCAACACGTGCAATCCTATGACGATGCACAGCACTAGTGGTGAACTGAACGTGCCTAGCGTATTTACCAACACTGAAACTAGCAGTGAATGTTGTCAATCAGCTGTTTGGTGAGCCACACACGTTACAATTTCAAACGCAGCAAACGACTACAACTGAATTTTCTGTAAATCACAATAAACTGCAAATATTTGTACGTAATTGAATATTAAATGTCACCAAGCTGAACACTTATGCAAAAAAAATTAAATATCAGGAATTTACGTCTTTCAATGCTTGCGTTACAGCTGATTGTAACATGACCCACACACGATGCAATGATAAATCAGCTGCATGCAAAGCACAAGCAAGTGAATGCACTTATACACACGCACCACTTCAATCCAGTACAGTTAAGTTTGTCTATCTCTGTTGCTTGGGCGTGTTGTTTGTTTTTCCTTAATTCGCATTTCCCCCTAACAAAAATTTGGCGGCAAATTTGAACTGCAGCATTACAGTGGTCACAATCAAGCTAGATATATGTATCTACATACGTCTGTGTGTTAGCGAACGACCGCAGTCTCTCGCATTGTGTTGACCACGTCAGACGTTCATTTAGATGTAAATTGATCTTATCGCTGATACAAATAGTTTTTTTTGTAAAGGTTCATACACACACCTACATCGCAGAATTGTCTGACGTGTACCTCTCGCACCACTCGTTTAAATCATTTAAACTCACTTGTTGATTACGCATTATCAATTTTGCGTGTTTACACAATAGTTTTATAAATCGCGGACAATTTGCAAGAGCCGGCACAGTAGGAGCCCAGTAGTCAAGATGAGCCAGCCAACATTTGCCGACATCTCTGCCAAGTTCAACGAAGCGACTTTGGATGAGATCGTTCAGAGTGCCGGTGGCACCAAGCACACCTCGTACAAGTTTGGCGAGGGTGGCAAGAAGGGCGACTCTTATCTGAGTCGAGTGTTTCGGCTGTGTGTCTATGGCGTTAAGGAGCCCGAGGGCAAACAACTGGAGGTGAATGTTATTGTCAAGGGCATGCCGGACAACATGCACAGGCGTCGCCTGTTCCGCTCCACGGACTTCTTCCGCAACGAAATACATTTCTACACGAAAGTCATTCCCGCGGTGGAGGCTTTCCAGGCATCAAGGCAGCCCAAGCCCAAGAAGCCGTTCGTTGAATACCCCAAGTGCTATGCATCCTTGTGTGACGGCGTCAACGATTTTATTGCTCTCGAGGATGTGGGCTTCCGCGGCTATCGATCGCCCAATCGGTAGGTAGAGATTTTCCTCTTTCTTTCATCTCCTAATTTGTTTCACTTTTAGTCAGAGCTACATCACGCTGGAGGACGCGCTCCTCACCATGCGTACCATGGGCCGCTATCATGGCGTGGCATTAGCCTTCAAAGCGCTAGATGCGAACAACTTTGAGAAGGCCGCCAGTGCTCTGGAGGAGACCTACTATGGCGAGCACACGCGAGAGTGGTACAAGGGCTTCCTGCAGCTGGCCCAAAATGTTGCCCTCGATGCAGTAACCAAGACCTTGCCCAACACCAAGTACGAGACATTGGCAAACAATTTCCTGCAGCCTCAGATGTTCGACGATATGATTAATCTGGTGTCAACGCGCTCCAAGTTGAGTGTCTTTGGTCATGGCGACTGCTGGACGCCCAACTTCCTCACACGGTACAGCCAGGAAGGCGCCCCACTGGAAATCATCATCATTGACTATCAGCTGGCACGCTGCGCCTCCGTGGCGTTAGACATCAGTTTCTTTATATACTCTTGCACCAGCCAGCAGCTGCGTGAAGAGCACTATGATGAGCTGCTGCGCGCATACTTGGAGAGCGCCCAGTCGCTCATCACGGATCTGGGCGGTGATGCTGAGGCGATCATCTCCTGGGATTCGCTGCAAGAGGAGCTACAACAGTTTGGCCGCTTCGGCTGCGGTATGGGCATCGAGTCGTTACCGATGTCGCTCATCGAGGACGACGAAGTGGCCGATCTGGAGGGCATTGTCGAGAGCGCCGTACTCACAGATGTTTGGGATATAACGCCCTTTGAGCAGCCCGCCAAACAGCAGCGCATCGCCGAGATCTTCAAGCATGCCATTGACCAGGGATACATCAAGTAGGCCAGCTGGGCACCTATAGACGCACTCCTCTCAAACATTCAAGACAATAATTTGTACATTATATATATTTCTATGGGTGTGGGTGCGTCTGCGCAATATACCCTATAACTGTATTTTGGCCAGCGAGAAGTCGACTCGACTGTTGCCTTTTATTCTTTACCTAATTTGATCAAATGTGACGACTAGCTAGACGAAAACTCAAGTACTAACGATAATGTAATATACCATTAAGAGGCATAACAGCACATGAACATAAATATATAATCTACTGACAACATTGGCTGAAGATATTAAAGTACAAACATTAATTATAGCAAACAAAATAAGGTTCGCGAATTGGCTAAACCATGTTCACGAACCACAAAGACCATTGCTAGATATCTTGAATATGTAATAAAAGATCAAATTTTTGAATATTCAAGTTATGTTTTCAATGAACCAAATAATTTAGTAATATTTACAGCAGCACACGAATAGTACGACTTGATCTCTTTTTGTATATACGGGTATACAGCTGTATTTAGTCGGTCATGAAAGTTTAGTTTAGCTATAGTTTATATGAGTTGAAAAAGAAGAAAGAAAGTAAATGTACCATAGAGTAACTTCATAAATTATATTTTACATATTTTTTAATCAAAGGATTGTCAATATATTATTTCTTATGTGGGAACAATGAAGAAATTTGTTCCTTGAAATTCACCTCTAAAAACCATATAAGCGGCCCAAAAGTATGCTGCAAATGTTATTAATCAAGGCAGAAGGAAAGTATGATTTAAGTATTTGATATTAATTATTTAAATTTTTAGGCCATTCGTGAGCGAACATTGAGTAGATCAACAAGAAAAGTTGATGCTTGACAAAGTGACTTGACTTTTACCTCTAGAAATTTGCAAGGTGTGAATAGAGAGCGAGGCAGAGCTAAGTCACCCCCAAAAATCAGCAAAGTTCACAATGCTGGATCGCAGTGCGCTCTCTCTCTCTCTCTTTTGACCTCGCTCTCTCCGTCTCTCTATGCCTCGCTCTCTTTTACGTTTTAAGTTGAGCGACAACGCGACAGTGTTGTCAACGACAAAAAGTAGAAGAAGAAAATGAAACCTCAAAAAGTATTTACAATAGCCGAAGTGAAAAAATTCAAATATAAATCAAATGTTTTTTATAAAATGTAATTATTATATTTGTATTTAGCCAAGGTTAAAAATAAAAATACAAATCAGATGTGTTTTATAATATATAATTATATTTATTTTTGATTTTTTTTTTTTATATATATAAAAACAATACTTAAAACTAAATCAGACAAATTTCAAAGCTAAAAATGCAAAATGTTAGCTGTAGTTAGAGGGCTTGCTGCGGCTAGATCTAACGGGAAAAACCCGCTAGTTAGCCAACACTGGCGCTCGGCGTCGCCTTAACACGGCATCGCTCGCGTTGCATGCCTCAGTCTCTCCACGCACGCGACGAGCTGCGGATCAACGCTGCGATCGTCGTTTGCTCCAAAGTGGTTCTGAAATATTAGCATTAAAAGCAACGTATTTACTATATTTAACAACTATTTTTTTGCGCTATTTATTTATTGTTCTTTTTTTCTTGTTGTTTAAAACATTTACAATCGCATGTGTGGAAAACGCGACGGCACTTGAAACGATGCCATTGCCATGCCTGGTTGTATACTTACCTAGATGCTTAAATATATGCGATTATATATACATACCCACACACACACACAAGCGCACACACACATAGTTTGGCATAGAATGTGAATTAGTTGCTCCGATGCGTTAGATTAGTGAATCGCGAGTGATTTTATGTTAATTTTTTTTATGTTTTTTATGCACTCAAAATCATGCAAGAAAAGTGTCAACGAAATGAAAACGAAAAGTTCAACAAATTGTGAGTGCAAGGCGACTAATTGATTGATTGTTGATCGAAGTGTAACAACAACAACAAGAGCACACAAATATAAAAATGCAAGCAGCAAATTGAAGAGCCAACAACAGCAGCAAAGCAGCTATACATACGTACATATATGTCCACATACATATATACATAATCAAACCGCAAACGAGCAAAAAAAAATACGAAAAAAGTGAGTGATTTATTTAATACTTGTTCACATATATATAAACATACATATAGATATAAGGCAGATATGCACATATATAGTATCATGTTCATATTTTACTAAATACATATACAGACCGACAGATGGACCGGGGGCAGAGCGCACTCATGAGCTTTGCTACGGTTATGATTATGGTTATGCCCGGTTTCGGAAGCAGCAGCCCGCCAGTTGCCGTCAACGATCATCATGATGCTGCTTGCTCTCCTTCTCTCTCTCTCTCTCTCTCTCTCTCACACACACACAGTCAGTCGCTGCTGCGTTGCCGGTCTCGTTTTAGTATATGCGAGGGGGGCTGTGGCCGGCTCTGGCTTTAGCCTGGGGCTGAGGCTGGGCCTGCAGCCGAAATGAAATGGAATTAAATTAAATCAAATGATAAAAAATATAAATCGAGCGTAGAAACAGTGGCAGCCCTCTGTGCCAGCGGTCCAAAGCAGCGCAAAAAAACAAAAAACACAAAAAAAAATAAAACAGAAACAAAAACAATCGGAATCAGAATCAGAATCGGAATCTGAGTCTGAATGAGAAACCCCCACAGTCCGACAACTGACTAACTGACAAACAGGCAAACTGTTGCACTGCCATTAGGGGGCACTGTACGCATACAAATGCAAATACGTGTGCGACTCTGTGTGTGTGTGCACACTCGTATTCATAGACGCACAACAGCTAATGGATATGCTCGACGTGCTATTAACGTGCACACATGCCATAAAGACCCGAAGAGCGGAAGGAAAATCCAAAGGGTAAACATCGGTAGCCGTAGCAGACCCTAGACCCTAGAGTCGGCCATCGACTGTAGGGAGTCGGGAGTCGGCACTTGTTGTGCAGTGCTCCTGCAACCGGTTGCCATCGGCCATAAATACATAGATAAATACATTGAACTCTTCTGCTGCCGTTGCTTACATAACGCGCGACCCTCCTCCATTTTGAATATGTCAAAAATCTGTCAGAATATAAATAAGTCGCCCTCCAAACTGCATCTGTATCCGTATCCGTACTCATATCCGTATTTCAATCTGTGTCTGCATTCTGGCTCTGCATTTGTACCTGCTGCAACTGCATCTGCATCTGCAGCTCTATTTGTTTATGTATCTGTATTCGTATCTATATTCATTGCAGTAATTGTAGCTATATTTGAAGGTGCTCCCTTTTCTGAAACTGTATCTGTATCTGCAGTTTCTATCTGTATTTGAATCTCTACTTGCATCTTCATCAATTATCACTTTTATCGTCATCTGCAAATGTATCTATCCCTCTATTCGTATCTGCATTTCCATCTGTATCTGTTTCTATAGCCTACTTTGTATCTGTATCTGCATCTGATCCTGTAAAAGTGCCTGTAACTCAAATGTCACCAGAATTCATAGCTGGATTCAGTAATTGTATCTATAACTCAAGCAGTATCTTTATCTTAAATTATATCTCTAACCGTATCTGCATTTGAAACTGCTTCTCAAACTGTATTTGAAACTTAGATTGTATCTGTATCTGTATCTGTATCTCCAACCGCAACTGTATCTGTATTTATTTACGAATTCAAATCTCCATTTGTATCTGTATCTATATATGCACCTGAAATTGTATCTGTATCTATATGTATGCATCCGAAACTGTTTGTATCTGTTTGCTTTTCAATTTTAACCTATAGCTGTATCTTTATCTGAGTCCATATGAATTATATTACCATTTTAAACTGCATTCGCATCTGTATCTGTGCCTAGATCTGCATCTACATGCTGTGAACAGCATCTGCTGAAGTTATTAACACATCGTCTGCCATTTGGCATTTGTTAAAATATGCATAAAGATATATATTCATATATAAAATACAAATATATACAAACTTATACAGACACTTCAATACACACATGTATCTACACAGCAACTGCTGGCCGAACATCATTCAGATCTTTTGTTTGTTTTGGCCAGAGATCCGCGAATCATTGTTTGATATTGCAGCTGAAACGCTCACAACTTGTGGTATACCCCGTACGCCCTGGAACGTCGTGAAGTCGTTCTAATTGTTGAACTCTTAGGGCATTTAGCTCTAGGTATATGTATGATAATAGGCAGACATTGAATATATTTTTGATTTTTTTGCTTTCCTATTAAATATGTTTGCCAGTTGTTGGCATCGTCGTACAGCGTATACTATAGTCGGATAGTTCCTCTCGTTTATCTTATTTATTTGCAGCTTTTGATAAATGATTTGCAAATTATTCTTAAGACTTGTCTGTCTCGCTTCCAATTCTAAAGCTCATTTTGAGTAGCTTGAAAAAAAGAAGAAAAAATGTGTTTTTCCTCAAAAACCAAAACAAAACAAAAATAAACTAAAATTGGACTTTGCATTGGGGGTATTCCATGTGCGGCGAAATGAAAATAAATCGCGCAACAGCTGTCGGCACAGGCTAAGAACATTTTAGATGTTTTCAAAGTGCAAGAAACAGAACTTTTATTTGTTTTTTATTGAATTGCGATATCGTTGGGCCAGCGTCGCGTTGATTAGTTGCAAAATGCGTTAACTGCAATGTCAGCATATCAATTGTATTTATAGCTAATCATTTGAAGTGTGCTTTACAATTTTTAATAATTTTGCAGTCTTGATTGCCTATTTGAAGTATTGCGAATATTTGCTAAGCATATTACGGATTAGTTCGAAGTGTTTCTCCATTTTGTGTGGCTTTTCACAAGCTCACAAGGCCTATTGTCAGGGCTTAAAGAAAGCTTGAGTCGCCTAGTCTATAAGTCCCAGGGTATTTAGAGTGCCATGCACATATTTCTAGCTTTGTTTGGCTTCTACAATTGTTTTGTATCGATATTATATTGAAATTTCGCAAGCATACACACACATACGAACACACACACACACACACACAATCAATACGCCCACACATACTAGCAGAGAAGCTCTAAAGATTTCCACTAAATTGTTGTTGAAACAACACTGATCAGTCAGCTTTGCTGTCGTTGTTGTTGCAGTTGTTGTTGTTGTTCTTGTTGTTGCTGTTGCTGCTGCTGCTCATGGCGCGTTTCATTAAATTGTTGCTTTTTGCTCATGGAAACGTTTTAATGGCTTGTCGCGCTTGGAATTTACACATCAGCAATAGGCAGCAGAGAGAGAGAGAGAGACAGAGCGGGGGCGGCTGGAGGAGAACGAGAGAAAAACAAAAGCCAAAGCCAAAGCCAAAGCAACACCAACAACAACAACAACAACATTCAACTAATACTAATCAACAAAAACAACAATAATCATAAAAAAGCTGTGAGCATTCAGTTGACATTTTAATAATGTCTGTCTACATGCTTTTGTTGTCGTTGTCGTTGCTGTTGTTGCTGCAATTGTTGCTGTTGTTGTTGTTGTTCTTGTAGTTGTAGTTGAACGCGTGAAGAAAACTGCAAATATTTCAAATTGTTGCTTAAATTGCCCAGAAGATTTTAAAATCAATTTCTTAGTATTATTTCTGGCATTTATTTTGCGCAATTCAATTTTTGGAAACTTGCTCTCAAACGGGCATAGCCGACCAACAGTTGCCCTGTAGCAGTAAGCTATATATATATTTATATATTTATATAACGTTTATTTAGCATCTTTTGTAGTTATTCGTTTGCTTTTTTTGTATATTATATTTGGCTACTTTTCTGGCAGAGTATCTCTGAGTTGGCTTGCCGATTTTCTCATTATAGCAGCCATATTGCAGCTATCAAATGGTTCGCTTTACTTTGGTTTTTGGCAAACATTTCTGGCGACAGCCGCCAGCTGTTGGCCTAAAAATACAAACACTTTTGCAGCAGCAACAACATCCGCCAGCAAAAGGGTTGTTCAGTAGTTAGCTATAGCATGACTTGCACATACCCTATGATTAAATGTTGCTTGCCTTACATACTATATATGTTCACTTGTATTTTGGGCTTAGAACATCAACTAGAAGTAAATCATTTTAAGAGTAGATATTAGTGGTATTCCTCTTGGCTTTCCTATGATCAAAGATGTTGGCTTGAAGCTCGAGTCTATTAAAGGACTTGCATTTGTACAGCTGTTAGAAATAGCTACGTATTGGCATCTATTAAGGACTTAATCTAAAACATTTCCTTCTCAATCAGACTTGAACAGTATTTAAGGAATTCTTACTCAACTCCCATCATCAGAGAGATTTAATCAAGTTTTAATTGGAGGAATATACTTTTGGTAGATCAATCAGTTTGCGTGTTCTGTGTTCAGGCTACACTGACTGACCCATTTTGTGAGTTGCCTTTAGCTTATCCGTTCACTCTTCCTCGCTCCCTGCCTCCCACTCCCTCTCCCCCGTCATTCTCTATGTCCCCTTTGTTCTCTCCGTTGAGCGGTTAGTTCAGTTTCAATTAGCACAGAGCTGAAAATGCAACATGATTTAAATTGTTGTCGCTGTCAGTTGTCAGACAAGAGCGATAACAACAGAGACAGGGCGCAGCACGCCTCACTCGGTCGCACCAAAATGTATCTTATAGATACATGTCTCTGACATAATAATGTGCGACTGTTATGCTCTGTTGTTGTTGTTGTTGCTGTTGTTGTGGCTGCTGCCTCAATGTCTCTGCAGTTGCCTTTGCGTCTCTCAAGTTGATATGTGTTGGTTGGACTACTTGGAAATGCTCGTGTGCTGCGTGTCCCAATATACATATCTATATATGTTATAAATATTCACACATATATATATAGATATAGATACGCATGTACGAGTCTTGGTAAATCTCTGAGTGCGCTAAAAATACGCTACACTTGATTTTCTCCTTGTTGTTGTTGTTGTTATAGCTGACTGCGCTTTTTCGGCTCTTTTTCTGCGCGACTCGAGTCGCATCTTAACTGCCAGCAGTTGTCGCCGTGGCAGCTGCTGGCAGTTCATTTTAGTTGCACGTAGCTTGATGCTGGCCAAGATCAGGAGCAGCAGAAAGTGCGGCCACAATTGAGCGGATGTCAGGTCAGGGACATTTGAAATATTCAACTTCAAGTTTCAAGTGGCAGAGTTAAAGGCGCTGCCAGCTCTGGATGCAGTTCTTTTAACAAGATTTTCATAATGAAAAAAAAATTATAAATTAATAAGAAAAAATAATGAAAAATGATAATTTTAAAAATTATATGTAACTAAAAATAAATAAATTTTAAATATATAACTGAAAAAGTTTCTATAAAGGTGAAATAACAAATACAATTTGCCTAAATATATATATATATAGCCAAGTCTATAAATTCTTAAAAGAGATCAAATATGCTCTTTGAAGAGTTGCCAGAAAGAGAAGAAGGTGTTAGGGACTAGGAATTAGAGTAAGAGAATATATATAATTTTTAAAAAATGTTTACTTTTGAAATCGAAACAGCTAGAATGAATCAATTTATTATAAATATACTTATATATATATCAAATATTATGATTGATTATATTTATGTCTTTTATGCTTTTGATATTTGTTTGGTTAATTGCTGTACACAGCGGAATGATTGATGGAACGAGTGTCTAATTGAGCGACTGACAGATAGATTGGCACTTGGCCAATAAATAATGAAGACGACGCAAATTGGCGCATTTGTTATGTTGGCCAAAGATCAAAGCAGAGTATCTAACAAACACACTTTTAGCCATTTGTTACGAATACATGTAGAGAAAGAGAGAGAGAGGGAGAGAAAGGGGTAGAGGTAGGGGGCGTACTTAAGTTTATATGGGCATGGCAGCGGAACTACTAGGCGCAATAAACAGAAATCAAATACAACTAATAATTATTCAATTTGAATTGAAATGCATTTTTAATAGTCGAGAGTGGAAAACAGGTGCCATGCACATGGAGTGTGTGCTGTTGGGAGGAAATGCCAATGCCTTATGGGCCATTTCCGATTTGAATTTCATTAGAAATGAAATTTGTTGACCCGATCACATGGGCTTGCCAAGGCAGCTAATTAGAGACGCTACTCCCCCTACTCAGCAGCCCCTCTATGGAATTGCTTGTCTCTTTTCAATTTTCAATTGATCGATTTCCCTTTTGCGAATCGCTGTGGATTGATTGGCCGCGTCGGCTGTTGCTGATCTCGCTGACAGCTCGTAAGCCAGCGCAGCGCTATGCTAATATAGATATATCCATGTGTTATGCAGCCAGAGTACAGTATACCCCTTTATGAGCCGCACTTTAATGCTCTGCTCGCCCCCCGGCTATGCCCTTCTGTGCCTCGATGACCATCAGCATCATCATCAGCCAGCTCAATTCGTCGGTTCACGTTCCCGGTGGCCATACGAGCAATGGTTGATTTTAATTAAATATATCTTCTTCCTGTTGCTGTTTCCATTATATTCGCGGATTGTTGCTGCTGCTGCTGCTGCTGCTGTCGCTGCTGCTGTTGTTGTTTCCACTCTATGTGACGTGTGTTCCATAGAGCTTAGCTCTTTTCCTATCCACACGCAGTTTCCATTGTGTCCCAGCAACAAGTTTAGCTCAGCTTTGATTTCATTTTCTTCAGCTCTACTCGTCTGTGTCAACTAAGCTTTCATATATCTTATAGATTAATATATTTATCCATATTGCTAAAGATCAAATTAGCTTAGAGCTGAAGCCGCTTTTCTGGTTGCTTTCAATGGAAAGCAAAAGAAGACTTGGCTCTTAAGCACATTTCTGTCGCATGGACTTGAGTTGCCTCAATAGTTGGTCGATTTTCCTGTTCCTGGTTTCCCTTGGGCATAGCCAGTTACTGCTGCTGCTGCAACGGAAGTGAAGCCCAGTGGCTGAGTGGATGTGGAACCACTGTTGTCACTGCTGCAACCCCATCCCCATATAACACCCCCTGCTCCATTCTTTCCTCTCTCTTCCCCCTTCCGCCTGCTCAGTCCCTTCGCACTGATGCACTTACTCCATTGAGTGACAGCCGCTGCATAAATAATAATTGTATGCCATTTATAATAGTTTCGTTGTCGTTGTCGTTGTCGCTGATGCAAAGGAATCGGGAGACTGCAGCCAAGAGCCGGACGCCGGACGGTGGCTGAGCAATGAACCAAAGCGGAGCCGATGCAGCTTGACGAGGTAGGGACGGCTGGTCGGGGGCTTGGCGAAACGCCTAAGCACCCCGTTGACATTAAAGTTGATTGCAAACTGTACGCATTTATGATTATGACGACGGCGACGGCGGCGGCAACGGCGACGACGATGATAATAATGATAATGATGATGATGATGGCGTCGCATTATCATCATTATCAACATCATTGGCCGCCGGTCGGCTTATTAGTTTGCCATTGCGCGCGCTTTTATGGGCGATAATCCAAGCGGGCAGCCTGAAGAGCAGGAGCAGCAGGAGGAGGATGAGCAGTGCCAGGCCTTCCCTGCCCACATGCCCAAATGGTGCACAGCGTCCCGCTGTGTGGCCACTTTCCATTAGTTTGCAACTCGATGCCAACGTAAAACAGAAAACACAACAAGAGCTTTAACGATGACTGCGTGTGTGTGAAAAGCCTGGGAAAACTTGAAAAAAAAATATTAAATCTGTCTGCAACAGATGTCATTGCATGTACTCAAGCTGAAATCAAGGCTACATTCTTAAAATAAAACAAGCTTTATCTCTAATCCACTTAAATCTATAACCTATATTAGTTCGACAGCTCGAACGCGACAGAGCAGAGCAAGGCAGAGCAGAGATAACGCTATAAATAATCTTTATTTTGTCATTAACTTCACTCTGTAGCATCTATATATATAATCTATATATATATATCTATAAACTGCAGTGCAATCAGAAGAGAGCAATAGTATTAGGGCTTGAGCTAGTTTAATGTGAATCGTAGGACTATGGAAAGGTACAAAGCGGATTTAGATTTTTGATAGTTATGAAAGTTGTCTGAATTATCATATTAGAAAATATCTGAATTAGGTTTGTCTAGATTTTCATTGCATATATGCACAAATACCCTGCAAAAGTTTAAGAAGATAACTCGCTTCTGCCTTTTGTTTACGTTCCTTTTACTTATGGCATTTGTAACCACAAGAACTTTAACAAAACTGAAAGTAGACTTAAGTCTAGTTACGTTTGATTGGCATAGATAATCTCTTGGATATGTAATTATTAGACTTGAGTCCAATATGAGTTTGGCAAAGTCGTTTAGCTGCTGAATATACTCAAAAACTCGTTCATTTCCCTCTTTCGTCTTTTGCAGAGATGCAGCCGTTAATACTGCGTGGAACCGCAGCTAGCAGAGCAGCAGCAGCAACAGGCGCAGCAGTGGCAATTGGAACAGCAGCAACAGCAACGAAATTAACAACAACGAGTAGCAGTAAATGTAACAACAACTTAACACTAACTATAATGCGCCCAGCAACAAAAACAAACTCCAAATTTCACAAACGTCGACGAAAGCGGCAGCGGGGCGAGCAGTGCAACAGCAACAGCAACAGCAACATCAACAGCAACAGCAGCAGCACAGCAACAGCAACAACAACAATCCGTAGAAGATTTAGCATCCCATATCTAAGCAGAACTGGCGCCTATCTGACGCTTCTACTGCTAACTACAACATGTTCCTTGTGCGCTGTTGCCGCTGCATCCACAGCCTCCGCCTCCACCTCCGCCTCTGGTGCTGCCGCTGCTGCTGCCGCACTCACCTCTGTCACGAACAGCGGCAGCGTTGGCGGCTTTGTGCCGCCCAGCTCGCCCTGTGCACCACAGCATTGGTGGGATCAGGTGCAGGACAAGTGCATGCCCTGCACCAGCTGCCAGGACGAGATGATACCGCTGCGACCCTGCCAGCTGCACATCGACACCGTTTGCCGCTCCATCTACGAGCTGAAGATCGACTGGGTTGTGCTGGCCAAGACGGAGCCCAACTGGAAGGAGGTAAGCTCATGTTCAACACATACACACACACACTCTCAAACACAACAAGCACATCTCATTCAACGATATTGCGTTTGCAGCGCCGAAAGTCATCGGAATATGAGCATTTCGATCAGCCAACGCCGCTGCAGCACTTGACCCACGAGCAGCTGCAACAGCTGCATGAGGAGGCAGCCGCTGCACTGCCCCTCGACTGGCAGACGGGCGCCCTCTTCATAGCGGTGCTCGCCTGCCTTCTATTCTTCTCGGTCGCCGCCTGCATACTCATCCATCATATGCGCCAATGGCGCCGCATGGAGCGCCGACTGGACCAAGGTGAGTTAATCTGCTAGTTGAATGCAGCTAGAACTTATAGCATGACAGTTTCTAGCAATATACAGCAATATAAATATATATATAATTTGTGTATATAGATTCTAGTTTCTTTCTTATAATTCTCAACTAGTTTTAATATAACTCAAGTATCGAAGATGTTGCTTAGCTTAGAGCTTAATCAAAACAACGTTCAGTTCAGTTAAAATAGTCAAAAAATAATGAAATATATTTTTAATATAAATTTTCCTATAAGAAATTCCATATGAACCATACATTTTAGCCAATTTTAATTAGTTATATATATATATATAATTAGTTGATATATAATGCTTGTGTATCAGTCGTTGGGAACTGTATTAGTGGAGCGTTTGGGATTGGCCTTTGGGCTAAACTTTCACACGCCTCAACCTCGACATGGCCCATGTCAACGGGCGGTTGGTGCATTGAAATGCGCAACACGTTAGACGTTGCATTGCCAAAGGTTGCAGCGTGCTCGGAGAGTGCTTCGGCTGTTTAGCATGCCCGGCATGCGATGGCGTGTTATTTGATTTCTACTAGAAAGCTGAGAGAAACAACCTGCAGCTGCAGTTGTGCGGCTGGCCCTAAACGTGGGCAGCGCACAGCTCGGCACAGCTCAGCACAGCAGAGCGACTCGTACATATTTATAAGTTTTGAAAAAAACACGACACTTTGATGTATGGGCGCTCCGACAATCGCCAGCGGCATCTCCTTCAAGACGTGGTCGTAGTCCGAGGCCCAAGGCAAAAGACGCGCGTCCCTTCGCTCAGATTTCCAGCGAATTGCTGCACGAGCTACTGCGAGATTTGTTTGCCTGGCTGAGACTAGGGGTGCTCAGGGGTACACAGGGGTGCAGAGCTCACTCTCAGGAGCTGGCCATTCCTCGCATATTAATGAACAGCGCTCGGCTTGGACCGAGCTGCGCCTGCGCCAAAGTAGAACGAAACGTCCAAATATTTGGCGCATGTGCGTCCGTGACGTCGACTGCGACGCGTTTTGCATACAACATTTACTTGTTGTTGTTGTTGTTGTCAGTAAACTTATTAATATTTTTTGCCAGCTTCGAATTCCTTGCATTATTTTTATTTAATTTAATTTATTTACTCTTGGCACTCGTGTTCAACCTGACCGCAACATGAGCTCCAAAACAGAAAAAGAATATGGAAAAACCTCAAACCACAGCCGAACATGAAGGGTAACAAATTTCAGATGTATGTGGAGCTGACAGGCCGTGTGCAGATGCATCACGTATCTAAGATTGATAAAGAAAGAAAAGTTAACATTTGTGAGAAGACATGATATATATATCGCATTGCAAAGATATTTAGAAAAGCCAAAAGCGAGTTCTCATCGAGCAAGATATATAGAAGATTTCTAATGTGCTTTGCCTCACGATCAATGCTCATCAATGCAGTTTGCTTCCACACACAGTTGGACTGTACTTCCATGATCTTCTCTGGCCCAGGCAACGATCTCTGTCCTTGGCAATGATATTTGCCTTAAGCCAATTGGCTTTAGTTCCCTACAGGGCAAAAATTATGTACTCCTATATGCCGTGGGTTCCCTCTCATATGTCACAATAAAGCAGCATATAACAGAGACGCAACTTAAATGTGGCATGCAACACAGAGAGAAAAAAAGAGAGACAGTGAGAGAGAGATTGAGAGAGAGAGGGTGAGGCAACGTTAACTTCGGCGAGTCTCCAAATTGTCGTTGCGTTTTCCACTGATTTGAATCGAGTTCCTTAGCGAACTCACTTTCAAGTTTTATGAGCCAGCAGCCACATAAAGTGTTTGGCATAAACTTTTATTGCTCTTCTAAGTGCCAAAGAAATTGAGCATGGATAACCTTTTGCTATTTCATTCCACATATTTGCTCTAAAATATGAAAACTGAATAAAACAATAAAACATACGTTTATGTTGTATGTAGAGAAAAGAATAAAGCAAATAAATAAAAATGTATAAAAACATGTATAAAAAATATATAAAAAAAGATATATGAAAATATATAAAATAAATAAAAAAAATATATAAAAAACACATAAAATGTATAAAAGTTGTATATAAAAAAATATATATATATGTGTATATAATTACAAAATATATAATATTTATACTAAAATAAAACATAAGTTCATAAAAAAATATAGTAAATAAATAATAATATTAATGAAATATACGCAAGATCGTAAAACTTTGAAGGCATAAAAAAAAATTCGAAGATTGATAAAATATGCAAATGACTTTTCACAAATGTAAATTTAATAAATAAAGAGCAGGGTCAGAAAATCAACACAAATTCCAAATTATCTTATACTCTTCACTCAATTTAAGAGAATAATTTTTTATTTTCTGTCTTTATTAAGAAAATCATGAAAATGCGTTTTCCTTTGTCAGCTCGCCATTTGTTTCAAGAGCTAAGCGAAATCTGTCAGAAAATATTTTTGAATTACGTCGACATGTCTGTCTTTAACTTCATGTTAAATCTGACATGAACTTGTGCTGCAGCCTGTGAATGAAATTGGATATTCAAAGTGAATTTGGAATATTTCCACTTGGGAGCTCTGCTGCACTCATAACGCACAACTCACAACCAGCTGAAAGTCTTGAGCATATCTATGTGTTTATCTCCACGCATATATCATTTTGGCTGGCGTTGTGAGTGTGTAGACACATGTTGTTTGATGCGCAACAATAATAAGGAGGCAAAGAATAACAACAACAACAACGGTGGTAAAGAGCGTGAATTTTCCACGCTTTTCGCGCCCATCCACCCACGGGTCGTGTCTGCGGGGCCAACGTGAAAATTTATGCCTTGCTTTGATAGGCTCCCGTCTTGTTTTTCTTCTTGTAATCATAATTCAGCGCGTGTCGACGTCGACATCGACGCCGACGCCGACGCCGACGACGACGTTGGCGTCAGCCCACGCAGCGGGTGCAGGCATGTCCAGTGTGAACAATTTATGAAGCCACCAACGAAACGATACGTAACGCAAACAGCGAATCGAGACAGACAACAACAATGGCAACGAAAACACTTGCTTAGGATCATAAGCTGAGTGTGTTACCAAGTGCAACTGGCAGTGATTTCTGAGATTTCAAATTTCAGCTATAGCCAGTGTTAATCCAGGACCGGAAGCAGACACGCACACACACACAGACACACAAAGACCCAGAGAGTGAGAGATACCTAGTAGCCAGGTAAAAGACACGTACAGCGGAAGAGTGAAGGCCCCTGCTCGAGCCGCCTCTGTCTGCATATTGCCATGCTGCTGTGGTGCATGTGTCTAGCTCAAGGACAAGCGGATGTTTGTAGACCGCAGAGTTGAATCACTTCCGCGGCGATGTAATCAAATTCGAAAATCATGTCACAGCCAGTCGAGGGCCATAAAACAAACGAGGGGCAGGAAATGCCGTGCAGCAGCAACAACAACAACTGCATCTTTATGTAACAGATCTTTGTCAACTGTGTTCATGAAATCGAATGGCTTGCACTTGGTAAATGCCACGCGGCATTTCCCTTTACGTTTACGTCTTATTGGATTCTGTCACTTCCGTCGCACTCGTCACATATCTATAAATAGTTGGCGAATACTTCGATCCGGCCGTTGATTAAATATTGGACCAGCTGGTTCGGGTTGTACAGGAAGTTGTTGGGCATCTTCGGCGGCAGCTAAAGGTGTGACTGGGCGCATTGAAGCGCTCAATTGACAATTGCCTTCGACTCTCTCTCTCTCTCTCTGTCTCTCTCTCTTTCTGTTGGCATTTCTGCAATTCGCATTCGCATGCGTTTGGCACGCGCTTAGTGCTTCCTTCAACTTGGAAATGTGCAGCAGGCAATAAATTCGCTCAATGCGCCAGCTGAGCAAATGCAGATCGCGCAAATGCAGCCGATCTTCGGTCCCTGCATTTTACGGCCAGTCCAAAAATAGCGATGCCCGTGCCTGCCTTGCCCCCAGCCCCCAGCTGCAGGCGACAAAGGGGCGGGCACTGCACAGTCAGCGAGCGAGGGCGACTCACTTGGTACCTGAAACAAACTTGCTATTTGCGAATACTACGACCGAAGTGGGCAAATGTGACTGAATGTCAAGCAAATACTGAGCTCTAGCGGTCTCTGTTATTAATAAGATTCGTTGATCAACAACTTTATAGACTAAAGTTCAAGAGGCATTACACAATCAGAGTCGAGCTGTCTTTGATCTCATAAGTAACTTATAAAATTTGGTTTATTTTACTATTTACCAAATTCTCGTTCAATGAAGATCAGCCAAAAACAATATCAATAGACTTTAAGTAGAGATTTTTTCCATAACACCCAATTATTGATCTATATTTTCTCAAGTCAAAATTTCACTTTGTAGATCATATGATCTGCTTGCCCCTCCCCCGCCCCCTGCCTACGGGAGCCCCCTTTCTGCTGCTGTGCTGGGCACTTGGTTTTTCTCGGATTTGCTGTTTTCACTAATCACTTTGCTAGAATCTTCTTCTACATACAGTTTCCACGGAAAATTCGACTGTGCCGCTTTTCCCAATATACCAAATAAACACACACTAACACACACGCACACACGCACAAAGAGAGAGATGTACGAGTACATAAACAGATAGATGGGAGTACTCGAACCCGTGGCCGGCCATACTCTTCCTCTCAGCCTCTATGGAGCCTACTCATCCATATGTGCTTAATTTGCTTTGGCGCATTGAACATTTGAAGCCTTATTGAACTGCGCAAATTTGTAAAATTCTTGTTGCTTTTCTTCCCATTCCAATTGGGAATTTTTCTTTCTGATTTTTCTCAAAAATTGTGTACGACGTAGCTGCGTGAACATTTCGCTGGGATTGTTTATAATAAAAAGCAAAGAACCGAAAGGCAGCCGTCGCGTCTGTTGGGCAACGGAACTTAATTTTCTTGTTGATCTTTTATTTTTCATTTCTCTCGTTCGCTTTTCAGTTTTTCCTCGACGCATGTCGATTTTCTTTTTTTTCCTTCACTTCTTTTTGTTGACTACAAGTTTTAAAAATAAATTATAAATTATCTGCTGGCTGACTGAGCTGACTGCGCTGCTGCGCTGCTGGGCGGCTGGGCTGTCTGTTTTTTGGACACGCCCACCGTTTACGCCTCCGCAGCTTGTTTACAAGTCGGAAATGCGCCCCAAAGGCCCCTGAGCGACCCCCTTTCAATTTCCTGGCATCGATCAACAAATGGCTGGCAGTAATAATTGTTGATCTGACAGCGCGAATACGAAAATATAATAAATATTTTAACAGCCTTATGGCCATGTTTATGAAGGCCATAACAGTATTTTATACAGTTTGCGAAAATTACATATAACATACTATATAAAAGCACATACATCTGGCTACTGGCTACTGGCCACTGGCAGACGTGACCCGCGAGCATTTCAAACCTTGAATGCACAAATAGAAACGTTCTATTTATAGTACTTCCAAATGGGCCCTTGGGTGATCGATTGATTGAATTCGGCCAAAATTCTACGAAATACATTTTGTTTTAAAACGATATTTCAAGCATCTCATATTAAATTTTAAACAAATTTTTGTTTAAAATTTAATTTTTATTTATAAGTTATGCGAGCTTATGAAAACATCAAAAAAGCACAACAAATAAAGTAATTTATATGACCTATATATATATTCGATATGTTCAACAACAGCTGCATTGAACTGTGTTCATCTATCGATAAGCATCGAGAGACAAAGCATCCATGACTAATTTATATTTACTAAGCTTATATACAAAGTAAATCTGTAACTATGTCTAGATATCCATAGTTAAGGTATATGTTATCGATAAGTCACTTTATTGTTTATCGATTTAAAAGTTATAATGTAAATATACTATACATAAAGTTGAGATCTATGTGATCGATAAATCACTATTGCATATCGATTTATAAATTAAAACTTGTTGCTGGGTATCTGACAGTCGAGCACGCCCGACTTGAGCATAATAATTTCCACCGGATATTCCAGATGTTGCCTATAGCTAGACAATTGCTAACATTTCACATTTCTCTTTCTCTTCCTCATGCTCTTGTTCTATTCGGACTGCTTGCAGATGTGGAAGAGTTGTCCACGAAGCTAATGGCCAAGCTGGCCGAGGTGCAGAGCCTGGACGGTGGCACCTTCTTCATAGGCAATGCAGATGCCTTGCGCGGACTGCCCGCCTCGGCAATGACGGCCGCCTCGGCGGCAGCGTCCGCTGCGCAGTCGAGCCTCTTTCAGCCGCAACATGTGCTGCTGCCTGGTAAGTGTGTCAAAGGTCAAACCACTTGAGATCGTCCAGTTCGAGTGCGTTGCGCCTGGCGGGGGGCTGAGCTGGGATGTAATGAGCTGGGCTGAACTGGGCTGGGCTGAGACGCCGCGGGATGGCATTCCACAAACGAAAGAATTTCTTTTCATTTAAATGTGTGTGTGTGTAAGTGTGGGTGTGTGTGTGCATGATTGTGTTATTTTTGTTTTTGTTTCTGTTCTTTGCGCCTTTTTGGTCAAGGCGTTTGCCAATTTGCATATAAATTGGCCATTGAGCCCGTGGGCGGCGGCCTCTTGGCGGCGACAATAGCCGTTTAATGGGCCCATCCAATGCGATCGCAATTGATTCCATGGCAAATGCAAATGAGAACGCGCCCGCACAGAATTTTAATACAATGGGCCTACGGCTGTCACTCAGTTTTTGACAGCCACGCTTGTGGCCCACAGCTCAAGCACATATGTATGTATCCTCTCTCACTCACGCATCTCTCTCTTTCCCTCTCTGTTTTTAGTGGAAAAGCACGCAAAGCATCAGGAGCGTAGGATTCTGAAGACCCTGCAGCCGGGCAACGTGTATATCGAGGAGAATCAAGGACTCGGCGCTGGCGTCTTGGCCAACTCGAAGGGCTGAAGGACAGCCTGCTGGTGTAACTACTTAAGTGTACGTTAAAGTCTAGCAACACTGTAACAGCAGCGGCAGGAACAACTTTGTATAAAGTCAGCGCTGAGGGAGCTCGAGAACTTGCAAAATTGGATTACGACTAAATATATATATATATCTATTGTATATATATATATATATCTTTTTTTTGCCTAATATTTAATTTAATGTGTTAATGTTGACTTGTTTGTAATGCAAAGGCACAGCAATTAATTAATATAATTAATTATTAATTATTAATGAGAGCATTCAGTCGAAGCTTCAATTAATTCTAAATACAAAATTCAAATCTGTTTTGTTTGTGTATATATATATATATATCAGAGAGAGAGAGGGTGAGGAGCATGGGAAGATTCTTTTTTTTTTTTTTGATTTAAGTAAACAGAAGTTAAAAACTATTTGAATGCATTATAATATGATTAACAAATTTTCTACTTAATGTAAATATTAAGGCGAGCGAGCGGAACGGAACGGAATGGAATTGAACCAAGCAATATCGGGAGCATATCAGCTACTATATGGTCAATATATAGTCTTGCATATTGTATATCATACATTATATCGTTCACACACACACACATACATTGATATGATTATATATACAAATATATATAGGCGCTTATGGGAACATATTTAACGTATTTTAATTATAAATACTCTCTACACGTATATATATATATATATATATATATATATATATTTATATATATCTTTTTTTTGTATTTGTTCTTAGCGAAATGCGAAAAAATATTCATTTAGGATTATAAATATTTAATATTTCATAATTATTAAATCGCATACGAAGTGAAAACTAACATATAAACAAAACAAAAGAAAACAAAACAGAAAACAAATGAAATGAGTCGACGAATCGAGAGAGCAACAAACACACAAAAACTTGTAACATTTCACATCAAGAAAAATGTCGAAATGCCCACAAGGCAGAGCGAATTGAGAATTGTTTATATTTTAAGTGCTATAAGTGTGCAACAATAAAAAGTTTTATGAATTAATTCACTTGTTTCAACTTAATTTTCCATTTTCCCAGCCCCAACCCCAGCCACAGCCCTAGCCTTTCGGCGCTTTCCATTGTGTGAATGGAGGGCTGTCAATTGGTGGGCGGCGTAGTGGGCGCGGCGGAGGGGGGCGACCCTGAGTATTGAGCACTGAGAATTGGGAATTGGGCTCGATATTTATGGCGTGTTGTGTACAAGGCGAATGAAACGTGTCTAATTTTATTCCAGCGAAAGTCATTTATTCCTCAATTATGTATCTATATATATGTATATATATATATATATATATATTGACTTTGCGAACTGACGATTGATTGCAAATGGATATTAAGTATATACATACGCATATCTATGGATGAATCGCTTAAGCAAATTCAGTTAGCGTTAAGCTCAATGAAAATAAACATAGATTCAAATACATATTCCCATGGATGATCTAATCCAAACATTCGTAAAAGTTCCCATCGAACTATAAGTATAATTCAATGTATTTTTAAAATATGTCATGAATATTAATAAAATAAATCAATATAAATACTATACAAATTAAATGAAGAAGAATTTTACCATTTACAGTAAGAGTTTTATAAGTTCGATTGCTGACTCCATTTGTAGCTATAGCTATAGATTCGAAAATATGAGCTCTAAATATATTAATATAAAAATATCATAATAAAGAGAGTAATACATAATATTATATAAAATTGAAAACTGATTTATCGGACATATAGAATTATACGTCCTGCTCATCTATCATTCTATTTCGCCTTCTCCCTATCATATTCGCCTTCTTCTGTCTCCTCGCCCTGCCCCTCTCTCTGTCTGCCTCTTTTTCTCTCTCTCTCTCCTTTTATAGCTCTCTATGTCACCCCCCCTCTCCATATTTATCCCTTTAACCATGTGGCACCACAATGTCTGTGCGATCGCCTGCCACGCCCCACACTATACACATATATATTTATATATATATCGCAACAATATCCATATTTTTTGGTCCGGGCGACCAATCTGCCGACCGACCGAACGACCGTGGGGACTCTTCAAATGGGTGCGTGCAAGGCAGGAAACGTCTTTCAATGGAAATGAAAACGAAAATGGAAATGGTAATGGAAATGGGAATGGAAATGGGTAGGGACTGGTTGACTCGCCCGACCCCCACCCCTCAAGCAGCCAACTAGCCAATCGACTACCCCTATGTTTGGTAAAGCTGACAAAGTTGCGATTGCTGTTGCTGTTGCTGTTGCTGTTGCTGTTGCTGGGCGCATTAGTAAATTTGCATTTTGCATTCGAAATTTTTGCATTTTGCATTTTGCATTTGACGATTAACATTGAAAATGGAAATGGCAAACGACGATCGCCTTTGAATTTATTAATGTTGCACAATTAAATGCTTGTTAAGGCAAAAACAATGTTGCTGTTGTTGCTGTTGTTGCTGCTGCTGGCACATCAAAGCGCGCGTTTAGTTTGACCAAGGCAAAAACAAAATATATAAAAATAAAATGGCGATGCGCCGACTGAAAAACGCGCAAACATTTCTAATGAAAAGCCGAAGACAACAACAACAGCAGCAACAACAACAACAACAGCAGCAGCAGCAGCAACAGCAACATCAACAACATTAACAACAACAACAACAACAAACTTCGACACCCATTGGTAATTCCATGCACGAGCTGGGAGACTTTCTTGTTTGTTGCTGTTGCTAGTGTAGGTTTGCCAATGCTGCCCCCATGTCTTGACTGCCCAACAGAAATTAATTAGCTGCGACGTGGCATAAATTAGCAAAAACTGAAAACCAAAACCGAAACATCGAGCAGTATGCGTTGCAGTCATCGTCGCCGTCGTCGCTTTGCCAGCTGCTATCATCTATGCTGCTAACTGTATGAACCATATAGACCATAAAACGCGCTATCGATCGTGCATGCAACATGGCCAGCAAGAACATGGCTTAAGCAAGCATTAACGAATGTTTATTGCTATTGATTTGCGCATAACCAATCACAATCTAAACATAGATTAAGTGCGCCCCTTAATCACATAGCTTTTGTCTCTAGAAAATTCTTAATTAATACAAAATTTACTCAGCATATTTGGACACTCGATGTGAGTTGATTTGCATCCTGAATGGATTTGTTGACTATTTTTTTGTTGTTCAATTCGGCACAGATTTATGCTCGCTCGCGCAAGGAAATGAGTATATTGGCTTTGCTATGCGTCTGCCTGAAGGCAAAGCCTTTAGCTTGAGATTTTAAATGTTGAATATATAATCTGTGGCAGCTATAGATCAATAGCTTGAAGATTTCTTGACGGCGTGGCAATTCGGGAATTACATCTACAGATTGATGGAGGCAGGAGTATTAAGGCAAGGCGAATGATTGAAACTGAAATTTGAACTTCTTAATCTTGTTTATGTAACTAACAATAGCTCAATATAATGCTGATGAATAATGCATATAGTGATGTACATATGAACGTACATATGTATATACAACTTACAATAACAATGAGTGCTCTGCTGCTAATTGGAACAAGACATAATCAAAATGTTGCATTCACTCTTTAGAATGTCCGAGTGAGAGGATCACTGACAGAGCATCTGTCAGCTGATATAAGTTGAGCTCAAGCTACGATACTCAGCGTGGACGGTGAAGTAGCACAGCAAATGCCAATTGGCATGTGGCATGTGGCATGTGGCAACTGGGACGATGCAGTCTCAGCTGCGCTGAGCTATTGTGGCACATGCCAAACTCATTTCGAGTATTTTTAAAATGCGACACGGCGTCGTCGTTGGCATCGCCGGCAACTGCATTGTCGCAGCTGCCGCAAGATGTGGCTGCAACTTGGCGGCGCACTTGAAACTGATAAAGCGTCGAGTGGCGGACATAAAAAGAGAACGAATGAGAACAACAGCATAAACGAAAGCGGAAGGAAGTGAAGCCCGATTGGAAATACTAGAACGAGCCACGTGCAATGCTCAAAAGCAGCTGCGGGCGCCAAGGGGGCCCATTAATTCATATGCTCAGAGTTGTTGTTGCTGTTGTTGCTTTGTATTTGATTGCCAATTGATCGATGTATCGAAAATAGCGCCACGAACGTGTCTACTGAATGGAATTGCTAATGGCAGCCAACGTTTTGGCAACAACTCGAACGACCAACGACGGCCCTGGCCACTGGGTGTGCCAGCCTCAAAAATGTGCGGCTATCGCGAGGGTTAAGGGTTAAAAGGGGTCGGGTGGAAGAAGGAGGGGGTTTTCCAGTTTCATTCACAAAGCGAAAACGTAACGTCGCCAATGGCCGTTGGCCATTGGAATGCGACAGGCGTCCGCTTTTGGGGCTGCCAATTAGCCGCTGCCTGTTGATTGTTTGTTCGCCGTTTGCCGTTCGCCGTTCGCTGTTTGCTGTTGGCTGTTGGCAGTCCATAATGGGTTGGCAGCAGCGTTTGATACACTTTGGTTATCGATATTACTTGACGATTTTGGCTATTGCGTTTCCGCTGGCCGAGAAACGAGCGAGACACGACGGAAGCGCTGGCATTGCAAAATGTGCCGCGGGTTTCTTTGCCATGCTTTGTTTTCATCATTAAGTCACAGCAGCAGCAACAAGGTCTTCAATTATTCATACATTGTTTAAACAATTTGAATGCAATGCGTGAGCCGCTTGGCTGCTTCCACAACGGAAATTCGCAGATATCTGTGAGAATAATCCCGAAAACCAAATGAAAAACGGATGCTGCGCCAGGAAATGATTAACGGGCATTTCCTGTGGTCCACTCAGCTCATTAGATGCTTGGAAAATGCATTTCTACAAGCAAAGCAAAGGGGTGTTTTCTATTTTCATTTCTCACGATTCGAATGAAATGCTCAAGTCAACATAAGAACAAAATAATGAATAGTTCAGATCGCGAATATTCGTGCAGAAATACATATTTATATATTTATATTTACTAAATGATATCAGTTTACAAGAGCTATACGCTATATTCAGTATTACGTAATACTCAAAATTGATTTGAGGAATTCTTATTTTGCTTTTATTCTCGCTTAAAAGTAAGACTTGATGTTAGAAATCACATGGTTGGGAACATGGAAACGAAACGGAAATGTCTTTTTTGCTTTCCTACAGGATTTGGTTTGTGCACTTGCTAGACTTTCTTTCGTTAACCGTTTTCCGATAGGTGTGTGGATATGAAAAAGATAAATGTAAGCTTAAATGCCTAGTAAGGAATTGGCTTGTGTATTGGCTAGACTTGTTATTTTTAACCGTTTCCCACTTCGTTTGCAAAAGGTATGTGTCACCGCTTAGCCGGGGCGCACACATGCTCAGCTCAGACCGCTACCTTTTGTAGCAAAGACACGAACTTTTTATTTTGCGCTTGTAACATTTATACATATTCAGATCATTTATAATAAATAAAGATGAATTTAATCCAACTTTTGGCGTATGATAAATCTGTATAATGTATTGTAGTTAGTGGTTAGCTTCACACACACACTATTTCGCTGCTAAGAGGGCAAAATGGCGGCACAAACGCAAAAGCCGAGGCCAATAGAAAAATGACAAAGAGGAAACGAAGCGACGCGAATCTAACCAAATCTGTTGCAGCTGCCACATCAAGTATGTATGGTTATGCACATGCATGTGTGTGCCATTGTTGAGCTTTTACAATGGCTAAACTGGGAGCTCGATGAATGCCTTCAATTATTCATTTATAACCGTGTTTCATAACGAATTGAAATAGTTTTTGTCTCGACTTCCCTTTGTTAGGATGTTGTTGCATGTACTTCTGCATAGGGGACAGGGGTTATGATAGTCTAGCGAGATGCCAATAAGCTTTCCGCCATAGATATGGCCTCATGGCAAAGATACGTCACGATGCTCACCACCCTTGGCCCACTCTAGCAGACAGATCGACCAGCACATAATGGTCTCAATGGCGTGCATCAATCCGTTCAGAGTCAGTTCCATCTACTGACGCCTATGTGCCTTCAGCTGCATATTGTTGGTGAATGCCTGCTTCAGCTCATTTATGGTGACCGCCTGACCCTCCAATTTGAAATGGCCAATTGGATTTGCATCAGGAAATACTGGGCAGTGGCCTTTGGTTGTCGGGGTCGGTTGCTTAGGCTAGATTGAGCGCAAATCTGTTGGCTCCGCTCCTTTAAAATGCCCACACTTTTGTCTAAGCTGGGTGCACTCAGGTTGCCCTTGGCTCATCATGCTCTTATATAGACTTTCCCTTTTTGCCGTCGACCTTCTCCAACTTGATTTTGCCCAGATCATACATCAATATTTCCAGCTCTAGAGCATATGCGGTAGGCTGATAGGTCAGCTCATTCATTTTCTCTCTGAGCTCTCAGAGCCTGATCCCTTTGTGTCTCCGGAATTCATGTTACTGTTATGAACTTTGTGCAAGAAATGGGAGAAAAAAAATTAAATAAAAATTAAAAATTAAATGAAAATCTTAAAAAAACTTAAGACTTAGTTCTTCAGTCAAAAGTCTGTCAATCGCAAATGAAAGAGTTAGAAGAGCTTAGTATTGCCAAGCGGAATACAGAAAAGACAAACTGAATCTGAATTTTGGCAGCAATGTTGTAAAGATTGGTAAAACAATGAGACCATATTGAACTGCTAGGAATTGCGAAATCCTTGTTGCAAGTACAAATTGAAATGGGAATAGAGCAACTGGGATTATTCATGCTGCTATTATTCAGTATTATTGTTACTACTGCCTTCAACGTTATTATTATTATTCTTACAATGCTCAAATTAGACCTTCTTGATGCGCTCATTTTTAGCGCAAATAGAGGAGCTTCGAGCCTCAGTCTTTAGCCACAAGCCAGCGAACGGGAAGTTCGAGCCGCCATTGTTTGGCATCAGGTGGCGAAATTAGCGCGATTTCCGCCACAAGTTTTCGGTGGGCCGGAATAACCCGTTAGGCGAAGGGCTTGCAAACAAAACTATGGCTGAGGCAACAATGAGGCCAACTTGCTAAATCACCGAAATCCGCATCTTTAGCATCTTAACGGCCAATTTGGCGGGCAGCAGGCAACGGATGGGGGCACGTTGAGCGCTGGGTGCGCACATAAAGGACAACAACTGAGACAAAGACAGAACGCCGATGATAATAAAAGATAATAAAACAAACGAAATGTCTGCGCCAAAGGCGAACAGGCAACACAGGCTCAAAAGACGGGGCGCAGCGTGGCGCCTGCCGCCTAGCCAACCTAAATAAAAACACTTTGGGGAACAATAGACGCCGCTTCTGCGGCCCAGCTGACTGTGCGAAAGGCAAAAACTTTTGCGACACCTCTCGGTGTCCCGTGAGAGCCGCTAGGTGGCAGTTGAAGGCAGTTGAAGGAGCTGTGTGGCAGGGTGTGTGTGCTGATGCCGCCGCTGCTGCTGCTGCTGCTGGGCGTTTGTCATTCTATTGTTATTTAGCGACCCCTGGAGCCAGTCCCAAGTCCTCCAACTGCCTTCGCTTCATTATCTACTTGCCCCAACCACCACGAGCCGGCTCATTGTCTAGCGCCTGCACACAGCTTGCTTAATTTCGCGTGCCGCAACGCACAATTACACCAAGAACACAACTGCGAGCGACTCGACCACGTCCAGGTGAGCAGCCAGAGCAAATCACAAAAGCAACTCAAACGTGTTTGCCCGAAAGCCACGAAAGAGTTCGGATCGCATTCAGAGAGGCTGCCTGAACACCCTTCCCAACGGCTGGCTAATACTTAAAGCTCTAGCAAGAGATGCTGCAGACAAGATAAAAGCAGAATTCAAAGGGAAAAATCAGGCGATAGGGCCAATTGCGAGAGAGCTTCCAAATTGGCCAAAGAAGCATAGAAATTGCAAAGTTGAGGCTTGCCTAACTATGCAAGAGATTTTCCTATACAATTTCGACAAGAAGAGAAGCATATGGATTCCGTGAGTTGCATTCAGAACAGCTCGACTCCAGTTGCGGCTATAAAAAGGAATTTTCGAGGCGGCTTAAGGCAAACATTTTGCATATTAATAAGAAACCCAATTGGAGATACATAAAATATTTAATAGATTTGATTATAAATGAATTTGTTCGTGCGACTCTTGTCGACTAGAGTTTCGGGTTGTGGTGGCAGCTTTGATTTAGGGCAGTCTCGAGGCAGCTGCGATAAGCGAGCAGTGGCTCCCACTCATCGGAGTGGGCGCTGTGATGGTTTTCCGTGTTGGTGCCATCCAGATAGTTGAGCACGTCAAATATATCGTTGGCTAGCAAATGGGGCACAAACTGTCGCACGACCTTCAAGTAGAGCAGATTCTCCGGCCGTTCTGTGGCAGCTGTCGATCTGTCCATGGCGTAGCGTATGCCGGCGCGATGCAAAATGAGCACAGCCGGGCGGCACTTGATGAGATTGAGATTGAGCAGAATCCCAAATAGCCTGGCCAGGTTAAGCAGCTTGCCAAACTGTGCAGAGCCAGCTGCCTCGACAGCGTTAGCATGAGCAGCCCGCACGCGCTTATACACCAGCAGGCAGGTGTGCATCAGGGCCATGCCGAAGCTAGTCATATTGATGGACATGCAGCGCTCCATGGTGGCAAGCAGAATATCGCCATAGACCGCATGGAACTAGGAACCAGAATGACCAGTATGAGAATATTAGACACGCTTGGAATGGGCCGTCAGCTAGCCTGCTCACCTGCTCATAGTATTGAAACACACTCGAGGCGCGCAACACGGGTAGAATATTGTTGAAGCAGAGCTTACAGAAGCCGGCCAGGACGCGGCGTTTGCTCTGCAGTACCGAGGGCAGCTCCCCATCGTTCGCCTTGGTAAGCTCGACATCGCCGGACCCACTGAACACGTACCGCAGCACAAAGCTCTCCAGTGTCTTCAGCTCGTTGATGGACGACTTGTACTGCAGAGAGCGCAGGGCAGTGTTGCCGCTGCGACGCAGATTATCGGCGAACAGCACCAACAGATCGCAAGTGGAGACGAAAGCCTGATTTGGAATGTGGGACGTGGCATGTGGAGTCTGTGGACACAACACGGCTGAAATGGGTACTCACCTCGCAGCTGATGCTCAGCTCGTTGGAGTTTTCGATGATGCTCAAGGCAGCTACAAAAAACTCGTCCAAATGCTCGGCCAGCATTAGGCAATCGTCATCCACGTGCTTGCCAACGCTGACCGCTTCCTGGACGCGCTTCAGGTCCCAGCAGATGCCCATGTAGCATATTTCCAGGCAAAGCCGCATTGCCTCGTCGGACAGCGACACGACAGCCTCCTTCTTCTCCCGGATGGCACGCTTCAGGCTGACCAGGACGGTGTCCAATATCTGGGATCCGTTCAGATCGAAGCGTTCGTAGAGCGCCGAAATGAGACGCAGTGCGACATGCAGACGTTTGGTGCTCGCCTTGAGGCGCGACTTCTGCGACTTTTTTATTGCCAGCTGCCAGGCGCTATCCGCTTTCATATAGGTGATCACCGCCCGCTCCAGCAGGTCCTTGCGGTAGCTGGGCGTCGGCTCTGGGCACTGCTGAAACAGATGCTCCAGCGCCGAGGCGCACTTCTGCAGCACCGCAAAGTTGCTGTGCTTGAACATGAGACACTTGATCTGCTCAATCAGCTCCTGGGCCTGTTGCCTCGAGCATCTCATGTACAGCGGCAGCTCCAGCAGGTACTTCACGTCCAGATGCTCAACGCGGTACTGGCGCAGCAGAGTGCTCAGCATTGGCAATATGATGGTCGATGCCTGTTCAACGGCCCCCGCCATGGGCTGGCGCACCAGGTTGGTGGTCGTGCGACCAGGTGGGATCTCTCCGGTCACTGCTTGCTTGACGCCCAGTGTCATGATCTCGATGATGACAGTGGTCTCCTGGCGCGTGATGCTCTCCGGCTCCAGCAGTATGTCCAGCATTGTGGCCCAGTCGACCACAATCTTGCTGCGGCCGTAGAAGGAGTCGACCAGGTAGGGAGCATGCTCGTGACCCTCGAACTTTATGAAAAAGTGAATCAAGGCGAGCACGCGATCTCTGTCGGTGGTCGCCTGCTGGAAGCAATGATGCAGCAGCTCGGCCGATGCCTGGGCGACGCCACGTTTGATGGCGAAAACCAGCTGCTCGACGATCTCAATCATTTGGTCATCGAGCAGCTGCGGCATGGCCCTGTGAAAGCGCATGAGCAGCAGCATTGCCATCTCGGCCAGCTCACTCTCGGCGCCCATGCTGAGGCTGAGTAGGGTCATGCGGAACTTGTAGCCCAGCTGAAGGCAGCTCGCACGCAGCTTCGGCTTCTTCTGCAAATTGATGATGGCCTTCAGACTGGACTCCCACACCTTAGTAGAGTTGTCCTGCAGCGCCTCGAATAGGTGCAGCATCTGCGACGCACTGATGTAGCACTGCGGAAACTTGTTCAGCCAAATGCCGCATTCGGCTATGCACAGGGCGCGTATATCGTCCACGTCGTCTCGCTTACGCTTGAGGAACACCTCGTTGAACAGCTGCAGCCAGATCAGCTGCAGCTTGTCGTGCTGCAGCGTCATCAGATCGCTCAACGTGGTCATCATCTTCATTGCTGCAAGTAGATGCTGCTGTAAGTGTCGAGGCCTGCGTCGAGTAGCCTTACCTATCAAGGTGCTCGTGTGCCGCAGCGGCAGCACGTCCGAGTCGGAGGCCACTACCAGAAAGCCGGAGATGTGCCTCAGAAAGAAGTTGTCCAGAATGACGGACGTGCTGATTACGGCGTGCAGCACCTGCTGCAAAAAGTTCGACACGTCCATGGTGAAGGAATGCGAGCAGCGCATGATCAGCGGATAGCGCTGGATTTTCTAAAAGTGAATATCCGTTTAAGGACCAAAGCAATATGAAGTAGAAACTAGGTCTTCAAATATATTAATCACACAGATTATAGAATCTTTATAATGCCGCAAAAGCTTGAAAAGAGGCAGCCAAGTTTCCCCTTCCCCATCTCTAGTTGAAGACAGCTTCGAATATATATATATAGCCATTCAACCAATCGCTTACATTTTCATACTGAGCTTGGGCCGCATTGAGGATAACGTCACTTTTGATTGGAGCGCCGTAGTCCTCGGGTATTTGGTAGCCACTGCCGCTCGCCTCCAAGACGAACTGCATGAACTTGATAAGCGCTGCCTCGGGCTTTGTCACGTACAGCTGGACGAATTCGCTGCAAATATCCTGGAAGACGACAACAACAAAAGTGCGAAAATAAAGTGCAGATTTTTGAAATCGATTTTGAGGTTAGGTTCAGGACTTTGGTACCTCGAGGGTTTGGCGCTTGGTGCGCACTAGCTGCAAGAGACTGCTCTCCAGCTCGTCATCACTGGAAGTCATCTCGAAGTCATCCTCCAGATTCTTGAAGCTGCTGCCTTCCTCAGAGCTGGCGGCACAAGTACAAGACTGAGAAGAATTCGCACAATTAGTTCGTGTTTTACCTGTCCGGAATGTCCATTAGCTCAACGCTCTCAGCCGCCTCCGTGGCTGTCTCGATGCCGTCATGTATGTTGTTCATTTTCGAGCAGTCTTGAATAATCAAATTCTAATTGAAATTCAAATCACTTCGAGTGCCGGAAACCACGTGCACGGCTAGGCAACAATCGCTGAAAAGAAAGACAGTGTTGCCCATCGTCTGCGGGCTAGGGATGGTCGCCAGCCGTTACTCGTTACTCTGGGCCCTGCGAACGAGTAACGGTACAAGATAAGCTCTCAACTGAATATCGCAGTTCGAATTGAACGAAAACTCAAAGCCCTCTATTTAGCCAAGTGAAACTAGCTGGAAAATGGGTTCCATGGCAATCAGAATCAAATCGAATCGAAGTAGGCTTTCGCGGTCTCAGAAAGGATTTCAGAGTACTATTTATGCCGAGATCTCACTTTTAGTTACAATCTCATAGTGAACACATCACAAAAATATAAATCTAAAAAATTCAAAACTTAAATTTTCTTAAAAAATTTTGTGAACAAATTGTGAAAGTGTAGGTGCGTTAATTACTTTTGAATATCTATATATATAGATTTATAAATATATAAATATATATGTGTATATATGTGTGCGTGAATGTGCACATATATTTATTCACTCATGTATATGAATATAGATATATATATAGACTTTCTGATTGACAAGGCTCTGGAAGTGGATTGACCATCAGTGACTATACTCGCTGGGATATTCTTGGAGCTTTTCTAGGGTAAGTCGAGGAGAGGACTTCGGGACTTGTTAAAGTGAAATCAAATAGTCTAGGAAGGCTTTGCCTTTGAAGTCGGCATATTCCTGAAAGTGCAAGTCCAGGATTATCTTCAGCTTTGGCTGAATGGACTCCAGTTAGTTCTGCTTTGATATTCGAGTAAATCAAGATATTTGCATAATTAGAAAAGGATGCTGTGACCCAGGCGCTCTTTCATTACGCTCTCGCTGCTGCCTTCTGGCCAAGCTTCGTCATGTCCACGAATCTATTCGAAGGGGGGCCGGCGATACATGGGCTAAGCGCTTAGGCTTCATTAGCTGCGTTTTTCTGCGGGCTGCGTTTTGCGATTTCCATCAACGGACAGCTGGGATGCCGGGTAACCGGAACCCCGTTCTGACGGCGCTTGGACGGTGTTGATTTTCACACAACGCAGCGTGAAATTAGAAATCAACAACGTGTCCTTTCACTAACAGATTGGGTGGCCGTGTCTGGCCATGGGGTTTGGGGCGTGGTGCGCTTCAGGTGTTCGCTGGACAAATCAGTTTTGACTGCAGTTGCAACGCTGCGGTCAACGTCTGCCGTTGACAGACCAAATTAAAATGTCCTGATGCCATGTCCTGCCCCATCTATCGTTGGGTTTCATCTGTCTGCCACGCTCTGTCTGTCTGTCTGTCTGTCCGTCCGTCCGTCCGTCCGTCTGTCCGTCTGTCCGTGTGTGGGTGTGCGAGTGCTCTGTGCTTCGGTTAATGACCAATTTGCCAGGCGCAGTCGAAAGCCACTCATACTGTCGCTCGGCCTCACAATCCCAGCCAGCAGCTGTCGCAATTCGCGTTTCGGATTTGGTTTACAACGTCGCATTCATCAGGCTCGGGCTGCTGTGCGATAAATCTTAAAGTTTGGAAAATTGGCAAGCAAATAAAATACGGGCCTGATAAGGCTCAACAACAACAACAGCAGCAGCAGCAACAAACAACACGAACAGGGCAACAATAACAGGCGCTTGGAGAATTACAACATGTCGCATTTTGTTTACGAAATTTGAATAAATTTCAAATTCGTAAGGCGCTCCGCCAAAAAGTTAGCTCTCAGCTACAATTAACTTTTAAGTATAGCATTTTACAGATACCGCTGATATCGTCGAGATATACACCCCTCACCCACCCACACCCTACTCCGCCTGGCCAAACACGTTCATGGCCTGTGGTGCGAGGGGTTGGCAGCTTGAAAATAATTTCATGCAATTTATCATGTCACCAGAGCCACAAGCCTAACGAAAACGCCAAGCAACGACTTCTGTATGCACTATAAAAATATGAAGCTTCAACTCTGGCCATTTGTGATGCATACTGAATGTGTCTGTGCGAAATGAGACCTCAAATAGAAGTCAAACATAATTTGACTGATAGACACAGTTGCTAAATTTACAATTTGATAAGCCTACCCAAGTTTAACTCAAGTGCGTTAAAGAATGTGGAATAGAAAAATATTGACTCTCTTTGATGCTTTAATATTTGTTAAGGAACCATTTTGGTTTGTCTTTTTTTTTAGAGTTACACAAGTTCAAATCGTTATAAAATATTAAAATAAATATTTTATATCAATAAAACAGACTTTATTAGATAACTAATCATACGACATTATAATTTTAGTCATCTTCAATCTCAGCATATAGCCAATATGCCCAGTCCTAGTCCTAGCTCTGCGAGTAAACAAAAGTCCGTGCGATTTTTGCTGCCGCTCCTTGGCATCCATAACGAATTTTTGCATAAATAGAGAGCGGGCAACACTTTGGCTGCTGCTATTAGGCATCTTTTTGTTGCTGTTGCTGTTGTTAATAGCCAACCATTTATCTTGCTTAATGAAATTTGCGAAAAATCAAATGCTGAGCGCTGCAGCATGTCGGGCATCTTGAGGCTGAGGCCTAATCCACTGGCTGCAGCCCAGGCTCGTGCTATCAATGCGACTGTCAGCGTCACGTGGCGCGCATAGCCGCAACAAAATGCCCTTTCTCGTCGCGTCCAGTTGGAACAACTTGTTTCGGCCTTCGCCAGCTCTTCCTCTTTATCATTCATGAACCGCGCGCGTCACGTGCGCAATTAAATTGACGCATTCTTGACGGACGGATTCGTTTTGTGGTAGCCCCCGATCCAAGCCACAGACGCGTCTCCCCTCTGACTTCTGCTAAAGAGCAGCCAGGGAATTGAGTCGGGCCAGCAGCCACTTGCGTTGACATCATTAATCACATGAAAATTGTATTCTTGCGTTGCCCCCTGACAACTCTTCAAAGGAGCCTTCCAGCTTGTTTCACTTTTGTGGTTGCAGCCAACAGACAGCGCAAACTTCTTACCTTTCCGGTTGCAATTGAGCAATGTGGACAAAGCAACAGAAATTAGCATTTTTTCTTTCTACTTTTTTTGTAAGAAAATTAATCAAACGACTGCGCTGAGCTGCGAGTCAACGAAGATGCTGAGCTGAAGTTGGCGTAGTTAAGAGAGGAAGAGAGTAGAGCTTGAGCTATAGCTATAGCTAAGCCACGAATATGTTAGCTCTGTATAGCTGAGATCTGTCTTTAGTCTCTGCTAAGATATAGAGAAACTGTTGGTTCCAGTCCACTCGACCCACACAAGCCTTTCCAATGTATTACATCCATCGATAGACAATTTTTCGCGCCTAGCAGATTCAGAGCTGATATACTTGAAAGCACGGCTCCGGGATAGGCAATAAATTTGTCGGAGTATTTGCGCGAGCCGAGTTGGAGGAGGCGGTCAAATGAATCCTGCTGTCGTCCTTCGGGCTAACGTTTCGGGCCCAAGCGCAACTAAACATTTGGATTAGGCAAACAAGCAACTCCGGGGCAGGGGCAGATGGCTCTGGATAGCCACAAAAACCACTAAACAGTCAGCGGCGCCAAATGCAAACAGTTTAAATGTCATTTGCGGCGTTAGCCGAGCTGCGAGCGAATGTGAAATGGAAAATTTCGACGTGTTGGTTAAATAAATTTCGCGGCAAATCGCAAAGGGCAAACCGCGTGGACCGCTTGCCGCATGGGCCACCCGCTCCTTCTGTGTAGCCTCTCTCTCTCTCTCTCTCTCTCTCTCTCTATTTCTGTCTCCCACTCTCCCTCTGCCTCTCTTCCTCTCGCGTTTGCATTCCGGCAAACATTTGAAATGTTTCAATGGCGAATGCGAGCCGCAATTGCCAATCGACGCCGCAAATCGCATTTTAAGCCTCGCGTGCGATTAGTTTAATTGCCAGCGTAGTCTGCGGTGGGCGGGGCAAGGGCGGCGGGCAGCCAGTGCTGGCGCAACAGGACAATGCATACATTTGCATAGCTGTGGCCGAGTCCCCTATGCGAGTGTGGGTGTGTGCTCCCTTAATGCGAAAATAAGGATTAACCAATGAAATTTATAAATACGCAACAGACCAGCTCCAACGTCCAACTGCAGCAGCAGCAGCAGCAGCAGCAGCCGAAAGTCCTGCATCCTGTGTCCTGCGTTCTGTGCGCTGCGCGTAAATTGAGTGCATAAATTGGCCGCATCTCCGGCTGCGTCGCCTGGCCCGACAGGGCAATCTATTTTGGATTAAATCAAATCGAAATAAACGATTTTTAATGGCCAGCACGCAGTGTGCGCAGCTCCTTGTTGCCGCTCCTGCTACAGCTTGGGCTTCTGCTCCGGCCACAGTGGCAAAATCGAGGTCATTAATTATTTCTTCAAAAGCAAAAGATAAGCCGGACCAGGCGACCGAGCGAGCGAGCAGGCGAGCGACCCTGCCTGCAAATTAACCCCCAGGACTCGCATCCTTTTTGGCGTTTTGTGTCATTAGCTTAAAACCGAAACCGAAACCGAGGCAGAGACAGAGGCCGACTGGACGCAGGACACAATGGTCAGGCTGCCCGACCAAACGCACACAATACACGCGTGCCCCAGCCAACAGTTGTTTGTGGCACCAGCGACGTCGACGGCGACGTCAGCGTCAGCATCAGCATCGGCCGCATGTGCCACAAAGATTAATTAATCTTTAAGGACTCATTCGTGTCCCTGCGTTGTTTGTGCTGCCAGCTTCACTCATTAGGCATTTAGGCATTTAGACATTTGCATGTGCAGGCGACACCAAAATAAATTTATGGCCTCGGACCTTGGCTTGGCTCCTGACAAGAGCCCAGCAGCCACTCCTCCCACGCAAGCGCCATACACGGCTAGTTCAGCATTGCCGTATCTCTCGACTGCCAGCCTCTGCTCTCCATAAGCAGAATATAGTTGAAGATTATGAGTACTCGTTGCATGACATGAAAGAGAAAGAGATTTCAAATGTCTTTATGGGAAGTGTATATATATTTTTATATATATTTTTATATATATTTTTATATATATTTTTATATATATTTTTATATATATTTATATATATATATATATTTCAGTCCCAAAAATCAAATCATATATATAATCTGCAACAATTTGATGATAGATTTACCTTTATATATAGCTATAGTTACACTCCCACACTCATATGAACTTGTGTCCCGTGCAGCACTGTCCCTGCTTAAGATGTACATCTGTCAAGCTTTCGTTTCAATTTCATTTCGAGCCCCGTCAGGCATTTATTTTGATTATCAATTGACATTCATTTTTATTTGCTTGGCTTCTTATCGTAAGCCTCATCCTTGGCCCCATTGTCATCATATGGTCTTCGTTCAAGGCTGCTGTAGATGAGCTGGCCGTGACCCCGTAAATGACCAGCAGAGCTTAGGCCAAGCATACGCACACGCAGACGCACACACCTATACATATATATTTATATATATCTAACTTAGTCAAGATTTTGGCAAATTTCTGTGGCATGCCACACCAGTGGCGCCATAACAACAAAAACATGCCTAAAATACGTTTGCGGCCCGCCGCTCGCTCCACGACGTTTTTGTCGCTTCAGCTATAAAATATTTACAGCTGATTATTTGCGCTTGCAGCTTAATGTCAAGGTGTGTGTGTGTGTGTGTGTGTGACATTTAGTGGAGCGCAAAAGTTATCCTTGTTATCCAGCGATTTGCTCGTAATTTATTAGCTCGCATACGTGAATTATTGTCGTCGAGAGTTTTCAACTCTTTGACATTGATTGGCATCTGGGAATTGCTCTGCGTTGTTTACCCCAATGGGCTAGGGCAAATGAACTAGCTACATGAAAATCTCTCGTTTGATATGCGTAAGTGAATAATATATACGAGTTTATATACGAGTTTATTCCAAGTAATACTAAATAATTATTTTTTTTATGTATTTCCACAGATTGACAAAGTTCAGCAAGTTGTTTAAGAAATATACAAAAAAAAATCATCGAGCTATTTGGAATATTTTTGGGGTAATCTTTATCATTATCATCAGCATTGCCATCATCATCATCATCGTCGTTCTCATTATGACATTCGTTTCTTCGCCCAGATCTCAGCAAATCAGTGTTCAAGTTTTAGGCATCTGGCATGAATTAAATATATCAAATCAATTGACAATTGACCAAAGAAAAACAGAAAAACTAAAGAAAAACCAAAAAAAAAAAAAAATAAATATAATATAGAAAAATCAAAAAATATAAAAAATAAAATATATATAAAGATATAAATAATATACATCGTCAGAACCGAATTCAGAGAGCCGCGCTAAACAGAAAAACTTGTCAGGTGAGCGAACTGTATGATTCCATATTAAGTTGGTCTAACTATAAAAAGGTCTTAGCTCGTTGGCTTTAAGTTCTTTTTTATGGGCAAAGTTGTGGGCATAAAATGTGGAAACTTAGGGCTAATGAAGCGCAAGGTGGCAGACACGAAAAGGAGTTGAGCCGTTAAAATGATAAATGATGTGTGTGGCATAGATGTTAGCGCCTCCACACACACACACACACACAGTTGTTGCGACAGATGTTGTCATAAATAAAAAACAGCAAGCGGAAGACGCACTCTTCCGTTAAGAACTAGGCAAAGAAGGCAACATGTAAATAAACACACTCGCATTACAACTCCCACACACAAGCACACACACACACACATACACACACTGATTTATATGCGTGTGTGGGCGTGGAGTCTGTTCAGGCCACATTAATGTCAAATCAGGCGCATAAATTGCACAAAACGCTCAATTTATTAAACGAGGCATGCTGCTTTGGCGACGGGTAGGGCGTGTCCACGGGGCGTATGCGCGACAAGTGTATTTCGCTGGTTAATAAATGTCACAATTGGCCCACAGCCAGATGAAGGCAGCTACAGGCATTGTGTATGCATTGGCTCAGTGCATATTTTTTTAGGCAAACGCCTCAATCGACGCCTTTTGCCTGACACTCGCACGTTTATTATGCGCATCGAGTGGGCAATTGTTCAAGTTCTAAAATGCCGATTGCCAATGCTGCCAACTGCCAACTGACAATTGGCAGTTGGCAATTGCTTGGAACGCAGCTATCAATCGATTCTGCTCACGGGTCGCCTCGTGAACCATAACTGGAGCAGCACAGCGACACAGGCAAAGGCAATCAGAGCTCTGCTATAGAGATATACCAGTCCAAAAAGGCTCATAAAAATTTTAAAACGTTTTCAGCGTGCGTGTGGGCGTGTGGCCAGAGTCGACTTGGCAAATACACCATGAACAGTATTAGATATATTATATTACAGTATTATATATATATTACATTTTAGCTCAAACAGCAACCGGAAAAAATCCGATTCAAACCAGATTTCCTAAGACTTGCTTTACTTATATCTAGTCGATCTATTGCAATTTCAGACTTTATCAAGGTTTAGCTGTGCTGACTTCACTTATTTGCAGCGATAGAGCATGTCTATTCGCATATGTCATTCTTGCTGATTTCCTTGCCTTTTTCGCGCATTGTTTTGCAATTGCACTGACGGCGTGCTGGGCTTCCTTTCTATATGTATATATATATATATATATATATATGTGTGTGTGTGTAGGTAGGTGTCAAGGGTATTGTCCTTGCCCGAGCAATCTTTTTCGTCTGCCAGCCTCCAACCAGCTAGCCATCTCACGAACATGAGCGCTCGTTAAACGGATGAGTTAAAAGTCAAAAGCCCTAAAGGATTTTATTTGAATTGCGGTCTGCGCCAGTGTTCGACGTTTGCCCTGGCACCCCGGCATCTGCGTGCCTCGCTCCCACCTCTCGGCGACCGTGTTGTGTACCATGTTTTATTTAAAGTTTATCTCCGCTGCCTTTTTCCACTTCCTCAGCCACTTGCCGCTAATTTCGCGCCAAGTCTGCGGGAAAAAATATGCGCAGCATAAAATGTGGAAAAATATTTTGGCGCAAGACGAAAGGAAAAAAAGTGAAAAACAAAAGGGGTTTTTCCTTTAGCCCTGGCTGTTGGGTAGCATTCGTCGGCACGTCGCATTTCAAAGCCGTGTTGAAAAATATTTGAAATAATTGCAAAAATGTTGCCGCTCCGGCGGATGAGAGACTTCCTGCGTGCGTCTTGCCGTACAGGCTTAGCCAGTTCGTCCTTCAATATGCCAGGCACGTTTGGTGCAGTTGAAAGCATTTTCAACTGGAACAAACACGTCTCACCTAACGCAGAGCTAAGATATTTATAAGCAGACCAATCTAAGCGAACCTTCAAACCTAGCTTAGCTAGAAGGAAACCCAGATATATGAGAATTCAAGTATTTACAATATTTCCACAGCTTTTCTGAGAAATTCTACTTAACTCAAAGCATTTTAATAGGAGTGAAGCGTCCTTCAACCACCACCGTAGGCTGGAGGACTGTTAAAGCAAAATGTAAGTTTTCCTAGAATACAAGAACATTGGCTTGACAAAACAGCTTCGCGCTTTTTATTTAAGATCAAACGGAAGACTGACTGAGGTTTAGACTGACTGAGGTTTAGACTGACTGAGGTTTAGACTGACTGAGGTTTAGACTGACTGAGGTTTAGACTGACTGAGGTTTAGACTGACTGAGGTTTAGACTGACTGAGGTTTAGACTGACTGAGGTTTAGACTGACTGAGGTTTAGACTGACTGAGGTTTAGACTGACTGAGGTTTAGACTGACTGAGGTTTAGACTGACTGAGGTTTAGACTGACTGAGGTTTAGACTGACTGAGGTTTAGACTGACTGAGGTTTAGACTGACTGAGGTTTAGACTGACTGAGGTTTAGACTGACTGAGGTTTAGACTGACTGAGGTTTAGACTGACTGAGGTTTAGACTGACTGAGGTTTAGACTGACTGAGGTTTAGACTGACTGAGGTTTAGACTGACTGAGGTTTAGACTGACTGAGGTTTAGACTGACTGAGGTTTAGACTGACTGAGGTTTAGACTGACTGAGGTTTAGACTGACTGAGGTTTAGACTGACTGAGGTTTTACACAAATCACACGGCCTCTAAAACATTTCATTCATAAGCATTTCAACATGACTGATCCATCTATTGGCTCATCGTCCCCGAATTGGGCGAGTCTTATCTCTAATGGAATTATACCCACCTTTGGTAAGCTGTTTACTCAATGTCTAACAACATTCACTTTATAGAAATATCCTGAAAGTAGTAGGTGAGGTTCCGCCAAACAATGTTCAAGTTCCTACTAGTACGGGTCCATCTTCGGAGGCGACACGGGATCTACCGCTGCTGATGAGCAGCTTGAGTGGCCAAATGTCGCCCTATGCGCCGGTTTTCCATCCCATGGGCTCATATGCATCACATCTGCTGGCTCTGGAGCAGGCGGCTCAAATAAACCCGCAATCGCTGCCACCACCGCCGCCGCGTCCCATGGATCCGCACCTAGAAGACTACTATGACAGGGCGCCCGTGCCGGAGGTCTTCACCTACAATAATCCGCATCAAGTTCAGGCGCATTTGTACCCGAGCGAGTTCGGCGAGAACGGTGGCGTGAATGGCTGTACAGTGGACCTCACCATTAGGGTGGCGCCGAGCCCCCGCGCCTTCCCGCCCAGCCAACGAGCACGCGGCAACTGGCACGAGCCGCCAAATCGGGAGTATTGGCCGGAGGTCGATCAGCAAAACGTTCAAGTGCCCGTGCAGCGACTAATGCATCCCCAAATGCATGTGCAAGTGCCCCATATGTCCGGCCAAATGCCGGGCCATATGCCGGTGCAAATGCCGGCCCACATGCCGGTGCAAATGCCAGTTCAGATGCAGTCGCATATGCCGGTCCAAGTGCCTGTCCAAATGCCAGTTCAAATGCAGCCTCAAATGCTAATCCAGGTGCAGCAGACGCCGCAGGGCCATGAGTGCTGGCGAGATGTGGAGCAGCAGATCGCTGGACAGCGCGAGCAAGTGCATGGCCGCCAGCTTGGACCCGATATGGAGCATCAGGGACCAGCAATGCAGTCCCAGTCCCAGTCCCGTCACGAAATACTACCTGAAACTGAGATACAACCACCGGCCCGCGAGTTTTGGCAAGACATCGAACCGGCTAATCCAGCAGCTGAGGCGCAACTCTACCCACAGCACCAGCAGCACCCACTAGCAACTCGTGAGTGCTGGCACGAGCTGGAGCGACCCTCGCCTGATGTGCCGCTCCAGGTGCAAGCACAGATGCCACCGCACCACCTGCACTTCTGGCAAGATGTGGAGCAGCAGCAGAACGATGTAGGAGCACCACCATTGCAGAATCATCGAGTGCCGTTGCCTCGTGAGTGTTGGCGTGATGTGGATCAGCAGGGCAACGAGTTCGAGGCGCATGTGGTGCCGCCACAAGCCGAGTATTGGCGAGGAGTGGATCAGATTGTCGCAACTGTTGCTCCGCACCAACATGCGCCACCGCCGCCGCCGCCGCCACCACCGCCGCCACCGCCAGCACAACCACAACCACAATCATCTCAACCATCGCAAGCAGCACAACCACCCCAACCATCACAGCCACCACAACCACCACAGCCGCCACAGCAGCACATTCAGGCGCTGTCCCGCGAAATCTGGTGCGATGTGGAGCAGAATGCCACAGTGGCTGCACCACACACACAGGGACCGCCACTGCCGACTTCCTATGATTACTGGCGGGACATTGAGCAGCTGATCGCTTCATATGCCGCTCAATCAACGCAGTCCCAAACACAGGCGCAGGCCACGGGCGCAGCTGCACCCAGCAGCTGGCAGAATGTGGAAGAGCACGGCGTTGCAGGGCCGTGCATGACGACACTGCCTCGGGACTATTTGGGCGACGCTGAGCAGCAGTTGGCAACGAATATGCCACAGTTGACGCACGGACAGACGCCGATGTGGTGGCCCCCGAACGGACAGCATGCCACTGCCGACACAGCCCAGCCGCCGGCTTCAGGCAATTGGTTGCCCGAAGCCATCTCGAAGATCCCAAGGTCGCACGCACCGGCCGAAAACACAGAAGAACGAATTCAGCAGCACCAGCCACAGGCACCTTCGGTACGTGAGTGGTGGCCCACTGAACACGCCGAGGCGCAGCATCCGCATATCCACTGGTGTCCGGAGAACGAGCAGAACGCCATGTCTGCACAGGCACACGTCCATCCACTGCCAGCAACCTGTGAATACTGGAATGACATAAATCAGGAGAACCAGGCACAAGCTACGATGCCAGCACAACCTGCTGCAGCCCCATCCAATGAGTGGTGGGCAGAGGCGGCGGAGCATAAGACGGCAACAACTCAAGCCGTCCCATCCTATCACAATATATGCCTCGAGAAGGACCAGCCGGCTCATGTGCAGCCGTCTCATGTGCAGCCGTATGCGGAAGTGGAGCAGCAGCAGCGACAACAGCAGCAGCAGCAGCAGCAGCTGCAGCAGAAACTGGAACATCAGCAGCAGGCGCCGCCACCGCCGCCACCCCCGCCACCGCCTCTGCCTCAAGCGTCAGCACCACAGCAAGCAATAGTACCTATACCACCGCCACCGCCGCCACCACCACAATCACAAGTGCCCACTCCACCACAAGTGCCCACACCACCGCAAGTATCTGCATCCCAAGTGTCTACATACCAAGTGCCCGCACCACCACAAGTATCTACATCCCAAGTTCCCGCACCACCACAAATGTCTACATTCCAAGTGCCCGCACCACCACAACAGGTGCTTACACCACCACAGAAGGTGCCCGCACCACCACAGAAGGTGCCCACACCACCACAGAAGGTGCCCACACCACCACAGAAGGTGCCCACACCACCACAGCAGGTGCCCGCACCACAACAGCAGCTGCCCGCACCATTACAGCAGATGGCAGCACCACAACAGATGCCCGCACCACCACAGCAGATGCCCGCTCCACCACAGGTGCCCGCACCACAGCAGATGCCCGCACTACCACACACACCTACAGCTCCACACCCGCCAGTACCTCCACAACCGCCAGCACCACCACGTGAGTGGTGGCAAGCAGCTGCGTTTACGCCGCAGGAACAGGCACCGCTACAGTCGCTGCAGCCAGTGCAACCGGTGCAGCCACGCAGCATTGAGACGGGCGTCGACTGGGTGCCCTACTCCTATGCTGCGCTCAGCATGCCCCAAGCCATATCAGAGGCAAAGGCGGATATGGTCTCATCTGGGGAAGATCAGAAGACTGAATGCACGGCAACATCAGCTCCGAATTCTGGCAGCAGCAGCAGCAACAATAACAACAACAACAACAGCAGCAGCTGCGATTCGCAAGGCGGCGACTTTCCATCCTTTGAGGATTTTGCTAGGCAGGTGAGCGAATGCAGCCTGTCCAGCTCGGAATATATTGCCACGCTGCGAAACCTTATGATACGCGCCCATAACCTGATGCTACCTCTGCTGCGCGGACGCTTCGCCAACATGACCCAGGTCCAGATGGCTGCCTACACCACGGCAATCCTAGAGGTAACGCCGCTGCATCCAAGTCTGTTTTTGCCCTCGGTAAGTAAAGCTCGCTACTCCCTGCGAGTTGTCAATAAGCTTCTCAATTATCAGAGCGTGGCCCGTCCCTGGATGGGCAGCGGAGGGCTCTTGCCACCCTGCCATCCCCACAGCCTGACACCTCAGGATCTGGCGCGCATTAATGTGAGTAGAATTGGATTTTTACTAGCGATGTTTCGTCCTACTTGGATTCATTTTCCGCCACCCACAGCCGCGCCCGATGATGGTCAGTGTGGGCACACAGACGGACTACCATTGCTGGTGCATGCACATAAGCATGTACCCGCCGCCGCCGTTGCATGGGCCGCCGCCGCCGCCGAGACCGCAGGCCAATCCGGGACCACACTTTGCCGCGCCGAATGGACCGCGCATGATGGCGCCTTGCGGCACGGCTCCGTTGAGTTTCTGGGGCCGACCCATAGGTGAGTCAGCCAACCGCTACACTTGCTTCAACTGACGACCTTGCCTTGTCTGTGCTTTCAGTGCCCATGCATCCACACCCTTATCCACATGCCCACCAGATGCCACGCCCGCATGGCTCACGCTACGGCTACCGCATCAACACCTACAGTGTGCCTTGTCGCTTCAGTCCCGCCGGCAACGGGCGCTCCCGCCACATGAACACCATGTACGGCTCGACCATGCATCCGCAGAACCACCAGAGCGAGGACAATGCCAGCACGGACAGAAGCTCCAATCACTTTATGGATCAGCCACCGCCGCCGCCGCCGCAGCAGCAGCAGCAGCGACAACAGCAGCAGCAACAGCCGCCGCCGCCGCAGCAGCAGCCAGAGGAAGTGGAGCCGCCGCTTTTTTGCAGCCCGCCGTCCAATATATCGGTGCTTCGTCTTAGTCCTTCCAGCCACAATCGCCAAATGGAATTACAGCAACAGGAGCAGCAGCAGCAGCATGAACAGCAGCTGCTGCTGCAGCAAGATCAGACCACCAGCTCGACCGGCAGTCAGTCGAGCTCGCCGGTGCTACGCTCGGACCAATACTCGCGTCGCTGCTTGCAGAGCACCTCTTCCGGCAGCCAGTCCAGCTCGCTAAGTCCCCGTTCCTCCAGCCACAGCTCGTCGATCATCAGCAACAACGACAGCGACGCCGAAGACTTCGACGGCCACGAGAATGTGAACGACAATGAGAACAGCAATGCCAATGACATCGGCAACGTCGTGGAAGCTGTGGTGAACGTGGAGACCAGCAGCAGCGAGCAGCCCACTGGCACTGCCACAAATCCGCTTTTGCCAAGTGCGGACATGGACAATGGAGAATCAATTAACGTGAGTTCACAAAGTGACTCGGCCTCGCCGCTTTCGCAGAACGGAGAGGGCGAGAACGCAGATGCTCAGGTGACAGCCAGTCGAATGGCCTTGAAGCCGGCGAACAACATATTCCTGCAGCCCACAGGACCGGTCATGCCCAGCATGCCGATGATGCACTTTCTGATGGCGCAGAATGGACCTCAAGCCGAAATGCAGCCCATGATCTTTGATATGAACGACAATATCAGTCCGAATGTTAACTATGCCCAGTTTTTGCCGAACATCAATATGAACATGAACATGAATATGTTCAACGGGCCAATGCCCAATCCCATGCCCAACGTTCATGTCATGCCCCCCGATATGGCGGCCAATTACTGTCAGATGGGGCCGGAGGTGGCCATGATGAATACGGCCATGATACTGCCCTACTCCTCCTATAAGAATCCGAACGAGCCCTACCCACCCATGGACATGCACGATGCCATGAATATGAATATGAACATGAATATGAATATGAGCATAAATATGAATGAGAACTACAATGGAGCTAATGCCACCCTAATGAGCATTCCCATCGACGATGCCAACCCGATGTTGAATCCCAATGTCTATTTGGCCAACGATATGCTGGTCACGACAGCCAACGATAGCAACATCAACGAGTGCCACGGCCACAATGAGGTCGTCTACACCACTGCTGATCACAGCAAAGAGACAAATATCAATCAGGATCTTCTAACCAACGAATGTGAATCAATCAACCAGGTCACATCTGCTGCACAGCCAGAAGAGAACTAGAGATGCTCACTCGTATACACTCGATCACGCACACCCGCACACTCCTCACACACACATCGTTACGCCCACTCGTATAAAGCATATATGTTACCATTGCTTAACCACCTTCGACACCGATTTATCAAACAATTAAGTTCAACAAATGATTTCAAATCACATCGTTAATTTACAGTTACTTTCCTCTCAAACACACACACACACTGACACATATATGTGTATATCTATATATATATATATATTGACTATATGTATATATTTATGTATTTATGTATTTATATATTTATCTGCCGCGTGTCTTCAATCGTTATCAATCTAAATTTTAAACAATTTGTATGGCGGCATCCAGAAATGCTTTTATTATATTTGAGATCGGCATAGTCACGCGGGAGAGTTCACACTGTCTCTCTATTTGTTACATTTCATACTGTAACACACGCATACACACACATACACACGCACACACACACACACACACACACACACACACATACACACACACACACACACACACACACACACACATGCGCGCATTTATACATATATATAGATTTATTTATATATATTGTTCAACCAACACTGGCAGGCAATGAAATGAATCTTATGCAACACACACAGCGTACACTCAATACACACACACACACACATACGACAAAACTGCGTTTCTAAACTATTTAAAATATTTATAAACCATTCGCTAATATTTGGCTTCTATGGTAAGCCAGTAAGGCACACTTAATATACACACAACCACACACTTCCACGCACTCTCCCACACTCTCGCACTCACGCACACACAGACAATAAAAGCAAATGAAAGCCAAAAGATTTATCGCGTTTATCTTTTATTTTATGGCTAAGCAGCATGGAGATAAGCTCAGCAGTCGCCCGGCCACACACCCGCTATTTATAGGGTATATTCGAGCTGTGTATATCATTTCATATTCATATAACGATGTGTAAATTTCAAATCGCTGCATTAAGTTTACATTTTCAACGTTTTACGTGTAGCGAAAAGCGTGAAACCAAAACCCCGGCCAAATGCGCCCGCAAAACTGAGCCACATCAAAAAAGGGGGGCCAAAGGGGGAGGGGGTGGGAGTTGTGTTGAACCCCTTGTGAACCCTTTGAACTCGCTGCGTGTGCAAGTTGCTGCTGCTGTTGCTGTTGCAAATGCCAAGTTAAACGCCTTCAAGCTGAAATAATCGGGCTAATCTTTTACGCTGCTTGCATTTTAAAGCGCTACCCACTTTTATTTTTATTTTTTCTAGCCGGGCTTTACTTGACTCCATTCGGAACGGCCGTCGGTGGTGGGCTGGACGGGCGGTGGTGGGGGCTCAGCCGGTCTGCATTGTGCATGCATGCTTGCGCTTTGCTGCCTCTGTGCCCCGCCCCCTCCCTCCACCATGTCCTGCTCTCTCCTCTCTGGCCACATGTGAGCTCTGGTTTTTTCTTCAAATTGTAATTAAATGCGTCGCGCAAAGACAAATAAAAAGCAGAAAAAAAACATTTGCAGGTAAACAATTTAATAGCAAATAAAAATAAAAATGTTAATCAGTTTCATATCAAATGGATTCATTTTTTATTGTTCCAATTCAGCTACAATTTGACTCGAATATGAGAAACAATATAAAAAGTTACAGCTGTTAGGAAATATCTTGTAACATTTTAAAATATATTGTTTAACAAAACTTAGTGCTAAATGGTTCGTTAGATTTAAGGTATACAGAGAAATAGTGGGATAGAGAGAGGCATAGAGAGAGCTTCGTAGATATTCAGAGATTAATAGAGAGATTAATAGAGAGATTCATAGAGAGATTCATAGAGAGATTCATAGAGAGATTCATAGAAAGAGATTCATAGAGAGTGATTCATAGAGAGTGATTCATAGAGAGTGATTCATAGAGAGATTCATAGAGAGAGATTCATAGAAAGAGATTCATAGAGAGTGAGTCATAGAGAGTGATTCATAGAGAGTGATTAATAGAAAGTGATTCATAGAGAGAAATTCATAAAGAGATTCATAGAGAAGGATTCATAGAGAGTGATTCATAGAGAGTGATTCATAGAGAGTGATTCATAGAGAGATTCATAGAGAGAGATTCATAGAAAGAGATTCATAGAGAGTGATTCATAGAGAGTGATTCATAGAGAGTGATTCATAGAGAGATTCATAGAGAGATTCATAGAGAGATTCATAGAGAGATTCATAGAAAGAGATTCATAGAGAGTGATTCATAGAGAGTGATTCATAGAGAGTGATTCATAGAGAGATTCATAGAGAGAGATTCATAGAAAGAGATTCATAGAGAGTGATTCATAGAGAGTGATTCATAGAAAAAAATTCATAGAGAGATTTATAGAGGCATAGAGATAGAGAGATGTAAAAAAAGAAAGTGCTTTGATTCATATTTACAACAGTAATATTATTATTAGTCTTAATTACACTTATTGGCGCTTTACTGTACGCCTTTTATTTGAACAATAATTATATTTTTTTTTTACTTTTTCTATATATATATATATATATTGGGAAGCTATAGTTTGACCAGAAAATTAACGCCTGCATGACCGAGCTGCATGAATGCAGCCGCATTGCTACATTTTTAATCTACAATTAACCGCAACTGTTTGGTCCTGCGGCGGGGGTGGGTGGGGTTGGAGTCGAGAGACCCGGGTCCAATATCAATATTGATTCTATTAATTATAAAAACATTAAGTGCCAGCCAACAAATGTAATTAAACGCATTAAACAATTGCAGTGTGCGAGAAATGGCGTTAAAATGCAGCTCGAGCCAGAGCAGTCCTGGTGTCCAGTTGGTCGTCTGGTGGGTGAGTGGGTTTGCTTCTGGTTCGCGTTCGGGTTCAGGTTGATGTTCAGGTTCAGGTTCAGGCCACCCTGCTGATGCGCGCCGATAAGCACGTTTTCAATTCGCATTTGCAGGTGGACGCCAGCTGCGGGTGTGGGGGCGTGGCCGTTTGTTGTGGGGCACATTGCTGGGATTTGTGGCGCAAGGCTGTGGCGCTGCCCGGCTGCCCGGCTGGGATTGTCGCACATTAATGACGAAATTATTGTTTCAATTGCTTTCAACTGTTGTCAATGCAAATTTTATGCAAATATTTTTCGGTGCCATCGGACTCTTAAATGCCATTATGGCCAATAAGTCAATAATTATTGCCATGGCAATTGTTGTTGTTGTTGCCACGTTTTGTTGCAGCAGGGCCAGTGCCCCTGCCTCGCTCAATGTGGCCAATTCCCCAAATAGGCGTTAATTACTTTTATCTGCGCATTGTCACACTACAACAACAATTCCAACAACAACAACAGCAACAGCAGCAACAACAGCAACAATTGCTGATTATGTTTGCCAACATTTGATCAAATTCGCTTATTAATTATTATTATTTTTGCACTTTTGTTTACTTTTTCTGCATAAATCAAGGCCGCAAATGTTAAATTCAATTTATTTAGAAATATTTATTTATTATATAATAAAATAATATGTTTCATTAAAGTCTGTTTAGCATGTGCCATGCTAACTATATAACAATAACTAAAACTTTAAATGTAAACTTTAGTTTGTAGTCAGAACAACCATAGTCCATAGCCAACAGCCATGGTCCATGGCCTGTCTCTACAGAGCATGTTTCTCTTAGCGTTATATATCTTTCAGTTAGCAATGTTGCTTTAGTGGAAAATCCATTTAATAGCGGATAGTTTATTTTTTGTTGAGTTTAATTTGGCATTTTAGTTGCACTAGAGAAACAATTGCAAACTGTCGAAATTTCTATCAAAATATTGCTTCTTCGAACTGCTTCAAGCTGCCTCTACTATGGATGGATCTGATGAAGCCCATTCCTGTACAAGACAGTTCTAAGACTCTGATGACTAAAATTACATGTACACACTAATGTCAGAAAGATTTCTATAAGATAAATTCTATTTCATGATTATAACAAATATATTTTTTCACTTTATTACAGCTTAAACTTGTGTAACTCTAAAAAAACCCATAACAGTTTAACAATTTGGAAATTTTAGTTATCAAATCATATCATTATAACTATCTTAGGATTCCTTTAGGTTTCCTTGAAAAAATTTAAATAACATTTTTTTTTAAGTTGAATAATAAAATCATAAATAAAATATTAATTTATTTCGGTTTGACTTAGCCTGATATAAGCTTAACTCTTTGGGTTTTGAGCCAAAGATAACTTTAATAGATTTTTCGGTAATATTTGCATAGTTGAAGTAACAGTTTGTCCTGGCTGGCGCAATGTAAGCAAAAGTAATTTATATGGCCAATTGGGTCGGAGTCGCAAGGAAGTAGCCGTAGCTGTTGCTGCTGCCACACTTTGTCTACGGTCCAGCTGTGGGTCGTATAATATAATTAATACTATGAATTACTTGAGCTTCGCACTAAGCCAAGCTGAGCGTCGCACACAAACACATTGGGTGTTGCGAGAGGGTCAGCTCGCTTGGCTGCGATGTTTGTTCTTGTTGTTGTTGTTGTTGTTGTTGTTGTTGTTGTTGTTGGGTGTATTCCAACACGTTGCTGCTTGGTCAGCCACATGCACTTAATTGCTTTATGAGGCGGTCAGTCGCTTGTTATGGACTTCAATTGGATTTCGCGCAAGTGCCGGAGTAGCAAGTAGGTGTGTGTGGGCATGTGTGTGTGTGTGTGGCGACTAAATGAGACATTGGGGATCAATTATTTTGCCGGCTCATTGCCGCAGGCCAAAGACAAAGGCCGTTGAACCACGCCAACCCAACCACTCGATCAATGCAGATTTTTCAGCTGATGCCAAAGTTTTTTAATCATGCTGATGGCACGATAATGATAATGATAATGATGATGCCGATGATGATGACGCTGCGCGAGCTGCACGTAGCAAGTGCGCAAATATTTTATGCCAGTTTACAGCACTTTTTCACCAAGGTGCGAACACGCACAGCCAAGGAATATAAATGGAGTGAATCAAAAGGAGTTCCACACTGAAGGATACCTTCGAAATATAACTAAAGTTTGTATTTATGCTTAATGTGGTTGCAGATTACCTTAAGACAAAGCTGTTTGCGTCAAGAATTTCCAATGTTACTAAATCCCAAATGGAATGCAGAAATGCTTCAAAGAGAGCGAAGCTCTGGAGGAATATTCTACCTGGTTAAGTCAGTTCCTGCGCTGCTATTAGATACAGAAGTCGAATCAAATTTCGTTTCAACATTGCA